ACTTCCATGGAGACACACCCTCCACCTGAAAAGTCATTGGTGCCAGAAAATGGAAATAATTAAATAAAAAGAAAAAATGAAATAAAATAGAAAATCATAAATACTTTAGTAGTAATTTATGATTTTTAAAAATTTGTTTTTGTAATTCATTCAAAGAAATGAACGCTCCCATCTTACAGTGGCCCTTTCACTCAGTGTTGGGGAGTAACAGATTACATGTACCGGAGTTATGTAATTAGAGTACAAGTTATGAGTAACTGTATTCAGTTACAGTTACTGTTTCAGTGAGTGGTAATTGGATTACAGTTACTTGGTTGAAATAAATGGATTACACAGCGGCATTTTCCTGTTTTCACATTTCACCCCCCCACCCCCCCTTTCTTTTTTTTCTGTAATTCCAGTCATCGCTGGACACTAAGATAGGACTAAACCAGGTCTAAACCAGGTCTAAACCAGGTCTAAACCAGGTCTAAACCAGGTCTAAACCAGGTCTAAACCAGGTCTAAACCAGGTCTAAACCAGGTCTAAACCAGGTCTAAACCAGGACTAAACAAGGTCTAAACCAGGTCTAAACCAGGTCTAAACCAGGTCTAAACCAGGTCTAAACAAGGTCTAAACCAGGTCTAAACCAGGTCTAAACCAGGTCTAAACCAGGTCTAAACCAGGTCTAAACCAGGACTAAACCAGGTCTAAACCAGGTCTAAACCAGGACTAAACCAGGTCTAAACCAGGTCTAAACCAGGACTAAACCAGGTCTAAACCAGGTCTAAATCAGGTCTAAACCAGGTCTAAACCAGGTCTAAACCAGGTCTAAACCAGGTCTAAACAAGGTCTAAATCAGGTCTAAACCAGGTCTAAACCAGGTCTAAACCAGGTCTAAACCAGGTCTAAACCAGGTCTAAACCAGGTTTAAACCAGGTCTAAAACCAGGTCTAAACCAGGTCTAAACCAGGTCTAAACCAGGTCTAAACAAGGTCTAAACAGGTCTAAATCAGGTCTAAAACCAGGTTTAAACCAGGTCTAAATCAGGCCTAAACCAGGTCTAAATCAGGCCTAAACCAGGTCTAAACCAGGTCTAAATCAGGACTAAACCAGGTCTAAACCAGGACTAAACCAGGTCTAAACCAGGTCTAAACCAGGACTAAAACAGAATTTAACAGGACTAAATCCTGCTGCGTGGACCGTGTCTCCTCTTCTTCTATCAATAATATTTTTTAATACGGTTAAGTAAAGTCTGGGCTTTTTATTTTCTTTTAGCAGATAAAACATCTTATGTGAAGATTTCCTCGTCTTTGCTTCTCTACAGCAAGTCAAATAATCCAAAGTATTCAGATTACATTACTCACTTTAAGTAATTTAATGGATTCCGTTACAAACTACATTTTGGGATATGTAATCTGTAATCTGTAGGGGAATACATTTTAAAAGTCACCTTCCCAACACTGTTTTTACTCCATCTGAAATCATGACAAATGAAGTGTATCGAACTATTATAGCTAAACCTTGTGTTGGTGTTTGTTGTAGAGCACAAGCTGGAGATCGTGCAGGACCTGGAGGACTTGGACATCCAGGAGGAGCAGAACGCCGTGTTCATGTGTGAGCTGTCTCTGGAGGACGTGAGCGGGGAGTGGTACAAGGACGGGACCAGGATCAGACCCACCAGCACCGTCAAGATCAGGACTGAAGGTACAGGAACAAACCCCACAATCCCCACAGTGTAAACAGAGCCGGAGGACAACTCAGAATCCTCCTGCAATTTACTGTGTAACTGCCAGACTGCAGAGGTGTTGTTTGGATATTTCTGTCAAAAAATATTAATAGTAACATTCTTAGTGACGTCATAATCAGCAACATTTTGAAAAGATTACAGATGGGCTGTACAAAGTTAATATTTACTGTATGAATGTATTTTTATGAGAAATATGATTATTCACTCATTCATTCAAACCTTTATTTAAACAGAATAAAGATCTATTTTGCGGTGTGTCCTGGCCAAGAGGTAGCAAAAAAAAAAGAAAAAAGAACAGTTAACTATTATTAAAACACAGTGTTAGACCGTATGATTCCCAGATAAAAAACAATAACTGACAGTCTTTTAGCTGAGTCTTTTGTGAGGAATTTAAACATTACATTTAAAAGAGTGCAATAAAATAAAGTAAACAAATATGTGATGTGTTTTATTGTTGTGTTCACAGGCACTAAACACTTCCTGTTAATGTGCAACGTGAAACCAGAGGACGCAGGAGAGATCCGCTTTGTGGCCAGAGACGTGGAGTCCATCGCTTACCTCGAGGTGGAAGGTACGGTTACACTGAACTTTTTACTGTTTTACTGCACTAAAATATACTTAATATACTTACTATACCATAAGAAAAGGCATATTTTCTAATCTTTCATGTAATATTTTACTTCTAGCTGAAAATGCGTCTATTTGCTGACGATTTGACAATTTGGAATATTTGGAATAGAACAGATGGAGGAATAATTGAACATGCATTTTTAAAATCATACTTTTTAAAGAAAAATTTGACTTTTGGGAGATTTCTGCCACTTTATAACTAGGGATGTGCAAAAATATTTAAATATCAATATATGGTATTGTTTAATGTCATGATATAGTATCGATATCGTGGGCTGCTGTATCGATATATCACCAAGAGTATTTTTTAGCAATATGTTTTACTAAATAATTTTATTACAGAGCTACAGTTTTGTTGCTTGTTTTAGAGGAAGAAAACTTGTTTATAAAGTGTTTAATTTACACAATTTGACACTAAAACCCATGACACGTCTCCTTTATTCCACGTTTCTTTGACGTTTCAGAGCTGCCGGCGACTGTAGTGAAACCTCTTCGCGACCGCACGGCTCTGGAGAAGCACCGCGTGATCCTGGAGTGCACCATGTCCTCTCCCCGCTGCACCGCCGTCTGGTTCAAAGGTCACGAGGAGCTGGACCCCTCGGACAGGATGGAGATCAGGACGGACGGCTGCACGCACAAGCTCATCATCCATGAGGTGGCGCTAGAGGACGAGGGCACCTACAGCATCCAAGTGGGGGAGCACACGTGCAAGGCTAAGCTCCTGGTGGAAGGTGGGTCGGTTACATGAATCGTTCAAAACTAAACTTCAGACCATTTTTATAAATTAGCATTCAGCTCATTTGAATGATTCCAACTCATTTGCAGTAAGTTGTCTTTTGTTGCATTGTGTAAAATCCCTCAGTCGTCCAGGTAGAATCCATTGCAAAATGAGAAATTCAGTTTGTCAACTGGACACAAATTGACTTTGGTCAAATACGTTTTGCAGCTCATCCAGGCTCCACTCCTCTGTGGACAGAGAAAAGAATTGGTTTGAGAGGGAAGTTTAAGAAGCTGTTTTTGTTAAGAAAGAGAATCCTTCCTTGAAACAGAAATGGAGGCATCAGACATCATCTGCCTCCTAAAATCCTAAATCAAAACAAAGAAAACATTAGCTGTAGCCAGGTCAGACCCAGAGGTGTGAAAGCTCCATAATGACTGACTGATGACGCTAATATGTCTCCTCACTCAGTGCGAGTTCAATAGACCTAACAAACAAACTGTAAACAAGTAGGTGTGTTAGTTTCAGTCGTCCAGGTAGAATCCATTAGCCTGATTCATCAGATGGTTTGACTTCATGGAAACCGTCTGATCTCACAGCATTAGGATTCGTTCTCTCGACAGTAGGCAGGTACTTTTTTATTTAACCAATTGCTGCTATTTGGTCGTGACGTATGTAATGCACCAAATCCCGTTGGAAGAAGGACAATAATGTCTATCCGCTTGATAAAATTCACCAAACATTCTCTTTATTCCAGCTTTAAATCCTTGATCTCGGGAATCGTTGCCGACACAGAATGAATCAGAGAGAAATTAAACAGAGTGGAGACACTAGGTGGCGTCAGCCTGGCTAAGAATCCATGGCAAAGAAATTAAATTTGAATTTCAATTTGTCAACTGGACAAACGTTTATTTAGGTTGAAAAAGTTTTTCACACCTATAGCCCTGACCTGGCTACCTGTACAAAGAGAACAGTAGGGGCAGTCAGGTCAGGACCAGAGGTGGAAAAACACTCATTTTGGGCCTTACGGGAATCTGTCCCCTCACTCACAGATGAATAGGCCGAGCTCACAAACAGAAACTGTAAACAAGTAGATGTGTTAGTGTCAGAGTAGTTTCAGTGTAGTTAGCTCTTCCCTTCAGGCAGATATAAGGCAGTGTTCTCCAGCGTCTGACCAGAACTGAAGAAGCAGCTTGGATGAGCTGTCAAACATTTTTAACCAAAATAAACATTTGTTCAGTCGACAAATTGAATTTCTCCTTTTGTTCTGTATTGCACTGTGTTTTTTATTCTGTAATACTGTAATTCTGTTTTTTATTATGACTCTAAAGCACCTTGAATGGCTAACAAGCACGAAGGGCTTTGTAAAGAAATATTATTATTCATAATATTAAGTAGAAAAAAGCATGTCTTCTTGTTGTTGTTCTTGTGTTTTTAGGCCAGTCTCTGGTGGTGGTGAAGGAGCTGGAGGACGTGCAGGTCACGGAGCAGGACACGGCGTGTTTCCAGTGTGAAGTGTCTGTGGACATAAACAAGGCCCCCGTGTGGAGTCTGAACGGGGAGAGCCTCCAGCCGGGCCCCGGGGTCCGTCTGGAGAGCCACAGGACGCTGCACAAACTGTACCTGAAGAAGCCCACGGTGCACATGAGCGGGACGGTCCGCTTCACTCTGGGCAAGGCCAAGTCCAGCGCCAGCCTCACCGTCACACACGAGTGAAAACTGCTTTTCCACGAGGGGAAGAGACTCTTTTCTTTATCAGAAAATACTGGGGGGGGCATAATATCAGTAAATAAATACTGTTCTGAGTAGCTATTTCAATTTGAAAGACCCTGTACCTGATTTTGTCCCTATTTATTTGAACTAAACATGTCGATCCCGAGTATGGACATATTGCATAAGCAGCTCTTCAGGTCAAAACAAGTCCACTTTGTACTAGCTTCATCTAGTGTGTTTTATTGTCCTATAATCAGGAAGTGCACTGTTATCATGCTAGTTGTTGTTAGTATTACCGCTACAGCAAAACTCCGCTCTGGTCTCTGAGTTGTAAGACGCTCTTATAAAGTCATCGTGGGGAAAAAGTTTGGACGTCTGCAAACTGTTTCACATGATCGAGTTTTTCACATTTTCACGTTAAGACATTTTAAAAAATCGGGTACAGCTTCTTTAAATAGTTACAAATACAACTGAATATAACTTATATGAAGACGGATAAGGGCTGCTATTTCATGATGTTTTCTGAATGATGAAAAGAAGCTGATTGTAGCAGCCCGTCCTCCTCTGCTCATGCTTTTATATGTCCATGAAGACACTCATTTGTATCGTCCAATTTTCGAGTTAATAAATAAACATTTTGTTGTATTAAGTCTCCACATTTTTGACTGTTTTTAGAAAATACTTTTCTCTTTACAGTTGATAAATGCAGAGCTGAATTTTACAGGAACAAACTGGATCATGTCCCTCCCACCTCTGTTTGTTACTATGGAAAAACTGAAGTACTGTGACATGTTATCTTCAAATGTACTACAGTAATATACAATAATATACAGTAAAACAGAGGGAACTACACAGAACATGATCCTTCCATTTCAGTGCAAACTACAGGACAAAATAACTGTTATTAAACACTTTTATATCTGAATTCTTTCTGTTCTGACTGTAATGATTCACACAAACATCATCATAAAACATTTAAAAAGGAAAAATTTGCACTTCTACAACTCTTATATAAATACTCATATATAAATATACCATAATTTAGTTTAAAATTCATATAAATAATAAAGGGACAGTTCAGAATTTTGGACATAGGGTCTCATTTCCTTGTGAGCCAGAGTGAAGAAAAAATTAACTAATTTCTACAACACTTAGATACTCTAGAAATACTCATATATAGATTTTTCAAGTACAATTTAGATTTAAATTTAAATAGCAAAAGTCTAAACTACATTTGGTACTTTGGTTTAAAGATTTGAAATGACTTGAAGCTCAAAGTAGATGACTTGAACTTGACTTGGACTTATGCGCCACTCTCGAAACTCAACTCAGACTTTTCGGACTTGGGACTTGACTCGGACTTGACTTGAGACTTATTTGAGACATACAAAACAACTTGGTCTAACTTCTGATATGGGTGGGAGGAGCCAAATAAACTCTTTAATTCAAGTTTAATTCACTTTAACCATATCAACTCTGGTAAATAAGCCCAACTTGAACCTCCAGTCAACTTTCAAATAGTTCAAATAACACTTTAAACTGAAATATTCTACCCTGAAATATGAACCCTCCAGTTTTTGTTGTGTGTGATTATTATTCAGGATGTATAAAAGTATGTACAGTAGTTTGATAAGATTTGTGTAATATTATAGAACCTTCACTATGTTTAATCATAGTTTATTAAAAAATGACACAAGGGAAGTTCAATATAATAAGTTTATTTATTTAGGACTCACCGTGTACATGATAAAACGTATATTTGTACATAATCTGGTAAATATCTGCACACAGACAACAGTAACATGACACAGAGTACAGCAGCTCACACAGACATAAGACAAAGAGAAAGAGACCTCTGTTTAAGCCCGAGCCTCAGGACAAAACGATCAGATGCCCTTCCAGCACGAGTATTTCAACAGGAGCTCTGTATGGCACTGAAACCGCAATAAAACCAACAGAAATCAAAACAGTCATCGCGTAAGGTCCCGTAGTATGCACTTTACACACTTTAAACTACTGTTGGACTTTACTTTAGCAGTTTAAATCAGACTAACAACAGCAGCTGCTAGTGTCAAAAGTTGAGCTGTAACATTTCTGATACTTTCTGCGTGTATGTCTATGGGAAAATGTTTAGCCTGATAAGTTTTTAGATCAGAAAACAGAAAATAAAATGGATTTAAACACATTTTCAGGAGCCTGTGATCGATACGAAGGTCTAGGAGTTTGATTTTGAAGTTTAATAACAATAAATCTGCTAAAATGTTGTAGTTTCAGCTAAATCCCGGGTTAAAGTCTGATTTTAATAACGTGTCGTGACAGAGCGGTGACTCTATTTAGCATCAACCCCCGAAAGGAATGTTGATAAGATTAGAATGTGACTGCTGAGAGCGCATGGGCTTTAAAAACGCTGAGGGACACTTGGGATTTTCCCCCGATGATGTCACAAGATGAGGCCGGGCGTTTTGAGATCTGGAGAGGGACAAACTGAATAAGCAAGATGACTCAAACATTTGCAAATAAAACAATAAAATAACTCCAGGTATTTTAGGATGAAAAAAACAAAACATAATATTAAAGGTGCGCTGTACAGCTTTTCTGGTGGAGGGTCGGTCACCTGCTTGTCGGGGTCCGTCGAATATTCCGACATCCGTTCATTATGACATGTCTCTATTTAGACGTGCCGGTTTTCCAACACTTTTTAGTATCTCTATTCCATGTTTTGGTCTGCGAGAGTCATGAAGGCACAAAGGGCCCATGCAAACTCGTTTCCAAATTTCATATTTTCCTGGAGGCTGGTCTATGCTCTTTTTTTTAAAATCCATGACATTTCCCACAGCTCAGTTAGGACATTTTCCCACTGTCTGATATCCTCTGTGGCCAAAGTATTCTCTGATTAATAGGATGCATCATTGTCAGAAATTCAACTTGTACCCAATTTTTAAAAAGTGACAAAACCAATTACAAGAAAATCTGTGGAATATTTGCTCAACTGAATCAAATCTACTGGGTCCACCAAGTCTCTGAAGTTCCATCCTAACAGTGTCCAAAAGGCTCTGGCAGAAAAATCAATTTTTCTCAAATAACTTTAAAGATTCATTTAGAGCCACGGTGTTAATGAAAGTTGAATATAAATGTTACTGCTGCATCTTTTGGTACCAATTTTATATCTCTATAACTTTCTAAGATATGACAATTTTTGAGTGTTTTTTCATAATTATCCAAAATCCACAACGGCCAAAGATGAAATGAGAGACAAAGTTTTTTCTTTCTGTAGTGATCATAGACTGTATAAAAAAGTGGAGTAAGTGAGTGTGACGTCACCAGAGCGTCTCAATGACAGGTACAACTCAGGGTTTGGTAAACACAAGTTTCCAGGATAAGGATGTTAATAAAGAAAAACAGATTTTTCAGCTCAGATTTAAGGCTTTCACAGGCGCTAAACTTCAGAGGCTCGGTGGACCCTGTAAACAAGAAAATTTCATGAAATTTCTCATGCAACTTTACTTTTGGCAAGTGTAAAAAATTTATACTAGGTACAGATTGAAATTTTTTTTTAATTTCAAAATGTTGGACAAATGATGCTCCCTACTGATCAAGCATTTTATGATATATGGAAGCACAAGTATAAAAGGCTATCACATTTATATCATTCATGTCGGAAAAGAGGAATGCTTGAAAACTTTGACAATGAAAAAGAAAAAGTTGAAGTAGTGGGACACTTCAAAAATAATGTTTATGCCGCTGCTCTGACAGAAGAGAAAGTATAAATAGCAGCATGTTGGAATAACAGAGTGTAACCATGGAGATGTTATTGCTTTGCCTGTAATATTCCACAGTATCACCATAAACAGCTCTACTTTATATTTAACTACAGGTGGTTTTATAGCTCAAAAATACTTAATAAAACAAACAGACATTCTGTGAACGAGTTCGTCTCTCCGCAGATCTGACCTCCATCTTGGTCTGATAGAAAAGTTTAATCCCAGACAAAGCAATAACATCTCCATGTCAGACCCTCTACCAGAAAAGTGACACAATGCACCTTTAACTAATCGCTGCATATTACAGGACCTTTCAAAGTGGAGAAGCAGCGTCACAGTGCATTGGTGTGATCATGGCACGTTGCAGTTTACACTATTTCATCATATTTCAGCAGTTTAAATAAAAAAAAAAAAAACAGGACTAATTTGTGTTATTTACATAAAAAATTGTGCCAAGATTATAACACGTACATTGTGGTAAAAACTCAAAGTGATAGAATAATCTGATCAGGCAGTTCGAATGGCTTTTTGGACTTACACAGACCACGTAGAAAAGTGCTTTGTTAAGGCATGGAATGAGCTGAGAGTCGACGACTGCGGACGATAAACCCACACGACCCGGCAGAAGTTTGGACACACTGTTTCTTTTGACGTTTTTTCTTTATTTTCAGGATTATTTACCATCACTGGGACGTAGTAAAGAAAAACGTGTGAAATAACTCAGTCACGATCCTTCGAAACGGACTTTGCGGACCCTTTGCTTTGATCACCGCTTCTCTCGCTTCCGTATTCCACTGATAAACCTCGAAAACACGGCTGGAAACGAAAACCATTTCAGGAGAATTCACCTTGAAGATCACTGAGAGAACGAAAAGAGTTTAAACCTCTGTCAACAAAGCAAAGGGTGGATGAATTGCAACATATTTAAAGTAACTTCACTTTTTTTTGCAGCATAATTGGATACATTTTGATTCATATATTTGATGTTTTCTGTCTACAGTGCACCCTTTGCTTTTCTGACACCTCTGTAAACCCTTAACCTTCTCTCAGTGAGCTTCTTAGTTTAGTTTCTCAGTTGTTTTTAATTGTTTTAATGTTCTGTAGCACTCGATTTGTTCGTAAATGTAAAGTGCGTTATAAATAAAATGCATTATTTAGTCTCCTGAAACGGTTTCCACTTCACAGCTCTGCCATGTCAGGGTCAAGAAATGCCAAAAGTGTAAAAGCAGCGATCAAACCAAAGAGTGTCTGCTGAAAAGTTGTGTTATCTTGAGTGTATTTTTGTTTACTACATCCCACGTGAGTTTATTCATTCATAATTTTGATGACTTCAGAGCTGGAAATAAAGACGAAACACACAAATAAAAAAGTGTGTCCAAACTTTTGACGTGTGGTAGTGTGCACACAAATAAAACACAACATGATCTGAACACAAAACGGTCAAGAAATGGCTGAAGAAGATCGGAGAGAAGATTACAGTCTTTGGTCACAACTCAAAGGATTCTAAGGGAACATACTGTGAAGAGAAATGACAGTTAAAGATCTTGATGGATTTTCACTGGGCGATTTTAGATATTTGTAGACTTGATTGTATAAAAGGGCCCCCAGCGATTAAGGGCCCCTTTCACACAGCTCCAGAAAGCAAGAACTGGCCTTGTATTTCAGCACAATTGTATAACTGCCTTTGTAGCGCCCCCTAAAGACAGAACTTTAACTTTAGACTGAGTTTGATCAAAGAATAAAAAGACGTTCAAAAACAGGTTTAAAGGTGAACATCCGTGACCTTGTATTGCCTTGTCATAATACTAAAAATCAACCCATTCTGAAGTTCAATATGAGGGAAATATTCATATCAAACAAACTTCCCCTTTAATATAGTTCCACATGTGTTATTTTAGTAGTTATTTTACACTTATATTTCATTGAGAGTTTAATAAATATTAAAATATGATTTATATTTGGATTTATGTTTATAGTCTTCTGTTTTATTTAATTTATGCAGCAAAAATATCTAAAATTGTCAACACTGCTTTCAAAGAATTATTATTCATTAAAATCTCTTTTTATATTTCAATATTCTACCGTATTTTCTGGGCTATTAGGCGCACTCAAAAGACCTCCAACCTCATCAAAAAACGACCGGGCGTCCCACAATCCAGAGCCCTGTACATGAATCCACTCAGGTGTCCCAGCACGACTTCAGTAAACTACAAAGCACGCACCACCTGCAGAACACACAAACACACACGGAGCAGACAGCGACCGCACAACGAAACACACCCAGAGACACACTCATCACTCCACGCCGACGAGGAACGGAACAGAGGAACGAACCGAAAAAAGCGAGTGCAATGTGCCACTTCTAGACACGACTGAACAACTGAGTCACTGCGAACACGCCGACAATCCGTTGGTCCCAGACACACCCTCCCTACACGCCACAACTGAACAAAGCCCAGAGTCACCGTGAACGAACAAACAAACAAAGTCCCACTGACCCATCTAAGGCCACGTTCAGACTGCAGGGCTTAACGCTCAATTCCGATTTTTTTGTGAAATCCGTTATTTTTGCGAGGTCGTTCACATTTCCAATTAAATGTGACTTGTATGTGACTCCAGTGTGAACATTAAACGGCCCGAAAGTGTCCCACATGTGACACTGGAGACACGATGACGTCAACCGCAGTGAGCGTCTCTGTGTTTACAGAAGTTGTCCAAACATGGACGTAGCATCGAGCACCTGGAGATTTTAAAGTTCCTCTTGTACTGGAGCCAGAACATGAACAACTTACTTGTTTTAAGGAGGAGATTGAGAAGGAGAAGGACGAGGTTTTTGGTCGTGGTGTTTTGTGGGACAGCGGCAGCGACGTCCGTTGAAAGGAACGTGTGGATGTGGAGACGGAGCCAAGAGTGGTGAGTGGTGATGTGCTTCACTTCACTGACACGGAGTTCATTAACAATTTTCGCCTACTTCAGTGCAGAATAGTGACGTTTGTGACTTGTTGATAACGTGTAGGTGGATGAATGTGCTTTGGCCGTTCAGACTGAAGTCACATGTCAAAAGATCAGATATGTATCAGTTTCAGGAGCACATATCCAAGTGTCCTGGGTCACATTTGAAAAAATCGGATCTGTGTGGTTCAGACTGACATTAAAAGATCAGATACAGGAACATAGAGGCCAAAAAATCAGATTTGGGTCACTTCAGGCTGCAGTCTGAACACAGCCTAACTGTTGTGTTTCGTTTAAAGTCCAGTGCGTTTTATTTGTGAAATAGACCATTTACTGACAGTGCGCCTTATAATCCAGAGCGCCTAATAGTGCGGAAAATACGGTACATCTTTCAATTGAGATTTACATTTCAATACACTTTTTATATGACTGAATATTTGTCTTTTAAATAATATTTGAATATTCTTAAATTAAATAAAGTTAAATTGTGATTTACAAACAGTACTTCTCCATTCTAAGCACAAAATAATGATCAGTTTCAATAAATATCGATTCATAAATACTTTGAATATAAAATATATGTGGACTATACTTGTAAATAGATCTGCTCCTGTTTGAACGAACTTTACGTCATTAAGTTAAGCAGATTGAGTCAAAGGTAGATTGTGGCTGAAGATACATTCCACGTCAGCGTCTGTGGGACAGTTTCACTCTGCTTAAGAAAAGAACAACATGTTTCCTCTGGATTGTCTTTCAGCCCGATCGAACACCGTCTATGGCTCAAACGTGGGACTCGTCCAGGTCCAGGTCCACGGGGGAGAGGGGCAGGGGCAGTCGGCGGGGGGAGCGCCTGGGCGAGGGGGGCGACAGCAGCGGGGCGAGCAGGGGGTTCTCCGTGCCCCCCTCCTCCCCCAGGTGCTGCAGGGTGTCGGAGCGCGGGAGCAGGGCGGCCGTGTCCTCCTCCCCGGGGCTCTCCCTCAGCCCGGGGGTCCCATGGGCGGGGGCAGGGGCGGCGGCGGAGGGGGGCCGGGGGCGGGCGCGGCGCTCAGGACCGGCAGAGGGGGAGGGAGGGGCGAGGAGGTGCGCGAGAGGGGAGGGGCGAGCAAGTGCGCGACAGGGGCAGGGGCGAGCAGTTGCGGGAGGGCGGGGTGGGCGTGGAGGGTCGGGAGATGGAGGGCGGGGGGGACAGGCTGCTCCGGAGGCCCCACTGTTCACGCTTCTCCTTACTGCTGATGCTGGGGGCCACCTGGGCACAAACCAAACAACAATACACACTTTAATCCTGTTTGGGGTCATATATTAGTTTGCATACACATTTACAAATCCAGGTAATCAAAATCCACAATGTTGTGCAAACGACACAAGTCTAAAAACACTAAAACATGATTAACATTTAGTATTTTACTGACCATCTTTTCTTCTTTTTTTTTTTTAGTTTTGTTGAAGTTAATAATTGAACTGAGTGCTTGGACAGAACAGAAAACAATCCTACTACGTCAAAACCTACACAAATTAAGCAATTGTAATGTTTGTAAAACTAGTAAAACTTGGATTGTCTGAACCAGACCTGGGCATTGTCCAGCTCCAGGGCCACATATGTCCCTTTGGTCGACTCTGACCATCTCGTTTAAGCTCATTTGAAATGATAAAATAAACAGATTTTATCATTGTCTTTTCATTGTTTAGTCATAACATAAACTCTTACCAGTCTGAGCAGTTCGTCAAAACAATGATATTTACTGCTTTTTATAAAGAAATACAATTCATATTATGCAGAATTGAGTTAAGCATTTTGGCCTCCACAATATTTTCTGTTTCTCATGTGACTCCCATGGAAAAAAGAAGTGCCCATCCTTGCTCTAATCCATCTTTAACAGACCTAAATCAAAAGAGGGACAGCCAGTACCAGTTCCCACGTAGTGTAGTTCAGTAGACCAAGACTCTGTAAACAAACTGATGTATTAGTTTCAGTGTAGTTAAATCCTCCCTTCAGGCAGATATAAGGGTCAGGGTCCCACCAGAAACCTGACCACAACTGAAGAAGACGCTTGCATGAGCAGCAAAATGTCTTCACTACAAAACATCTATGCAGTTGACTATAGATGTATAAATCATAAACATTTGATAGTAAATAAACTAATTCTACCACAGAATTCTGACCTGTCCTTCAACTCACAATTAAACCAACTGTAGTTTAGAATATTGTGACTAGGGCTGGGTGTCATTAAGACTGACGATATAATTCATACCTCGATACATGGGCCACGATATAAGACATATCTCCATACAGTCAGCTTTTGATTCAATATATTTCAAATCGAAACTTACTTAAACCACTTCTTGTGCAAAGTGAAAATGGAAACAAACATTTTAAAAACAGTAAATAAAAGTGAAAATGTCAAATGTGTCGCATAAACGAGTTTCCTTCTTCTGAACAAACAACAAAAGTGTAGCACCGTAACAGAATAATTGAGTAAAATACACCAAGAAGTACTCTTGGTGATATATCGATCCAGCAGCCCATGATATCGATACTGTATCATCACATTAAACTATATGATATATCGATATTTTATTTATTGTGATCCCTATCCACTTGTCAAAACAGTCAGATATTCCAATGGCTTTTGATACGCCGTATCATATTTAGTTTTGAATAGTTAATTGCCATAGCAACGATGTAGACTTTTCCTCACTGTACACTGATGCTGTACCTGTGGGGGGGCAGGTCGGTGCAGGTCGGCCGTCACCGTGGACATGGCGGTGGGCACCTCTAGAGTGGGGGACTTCAGAGAGGCCGGGCTGGACCTGCGCGCCTCGCCCGGGGTGTCCGCCGCGCCGGGCGTCCCCGCCGCTCCCTGGGTCTCTGTGAAGGTGACGGATCTCTTTTGGTCTTTTTGTTCTCCGTGCGCTGTGGGGGGACATACCCATGCACATGTGTTCAAAACCGGGGAGACGGGTGATGGCTAGCAGCACCATCATGGACGCTAGAGGCAGGGAGGGTGGGAGGGTGGGAGGGACGAGGGGCAAGGGAGCAGGGGTCAGAGGACGAGCAAGACACACATGCAGAGCTTCCTATGGGTCAGGTCGGGGTGCAGAGGGCGGGGTTAAGCTGGACTCTCACCTTCATAGTCCAATAAAGTCTCTTTATATTGAAACAGCAGGAGACAGAACAGAGTGAGAAGTCAGTGTGGTGCTCACATCGGTACAAAGACAGTAGGAGTGTGAAAGGGAAGGTGTCACTCTCACAAAAAAACTCAAACATTCAGCTCTATGGGCTTATTTTTGTCTCATTCATATTCACAAATGCACAGATGGTGATCTACAAATAGTCAGTGATTTGTACATGTCTTTTGATGTCCACAAATGCTAATTTAATATTTGTAACTTGTATTTTGGTATTTACAAGTAGATGTGTATTTGTAAATTTATTTTTTTCATTTGCAAAAAATAATTTCATTTGTAAAACTGAAAATTCTGTTTGTGAAATGTGATTCGCATTTGTGGATCAGCAGTTAGACGAATCCACAAATTTCCAGTATGATGTAATTTTTGAGAAATCCACAAACTCAGACAGATCCACAAACACAGACACGTACTTGACCAGTAGGGGGCAGCAGCTGGAACACAAAGCATTTGACACTGCTGAAATGGAAGCGTCTCTTGCTAACTTAATGTCACTTAGGCAAATGTTTACATTATCAAACACCTCAACAGCTGAGGACCAAACCAGAACTGAACCAGGACAGAACTAGGACTAAAACAGGACTAAACCAGGACCGAGTGTCTGAATGACCCGGAGTTGTGCTCGCGTAGACTGTCGGGTGACCGCGGGTGAAAGGACCGACTCAGAGCAGTCACTCGAACGTGCTTTGCGGACACCGCGCTCCACGGCTCAGGGTCCTCCCTCCATTCCTCTCTCAAGTCAAAGATTAATTCTGGTTTAGACCTGTTTTAGTCCTGGTTCAGTTTTGGTTCAGTCCAGCTCTGAGCCGGTCCTTTCACCCGCAGTCACCTGACGGTCTGCGCGGGCACAACTCCGGGTCGTTCAGACACTCGGTCCTGGTTCAGTTCTGGTTTAGTCCTCAGCTGTTGAGGTGTTTGATAATGTAAACATTAGCCTAAGTGACGTTAAGTTAGCAAGAGACGCTTCCATTTCAGCAGTGTCAAATGTTTCGTGTTCCAGCTGCTGCCCCCTACTGGTCAAGTACGTGTCTGTATTTGTTGCTCTGTCTGAGTTTGTGGATTTCTCAAAATGAGGGTCTCAAAATTACGTCATACCGGAAATCGGTGGATTCATGTAACTGCTGATCCACAAATGCCAATCACATTTTACAAACAGAATTTTCTGTTTTACAAATTTATAAATAAATTTATAAATTTACAAATACACATCCATTTGTAAATATCAGAATACAAGTTACAAATCACTGACTATTTGTAGATCATAATCTGTGTATTTGTGAATATTAATGAGACAAAAGTAACTCCATTCAGCTCGGGTGTGTACAGAGTGTGTGTGTGAGCCTGCGTTGTTACCCAGAGGTTTGTTCTTGGGCTGGATGCTCCGGCGTGTCGTCGACAGTCGTGCTCCTGACCGTCCACGGGGCTCAGTCTTTGGAATGGACAGCAGAGGGCGCCGTAACTGCAACAAGCACATTCTGACCTTACTCTCAGGAATATGCAACCACCACCAAATACACACATCTCCCAACATAAAATAATCTGCTAATATAATCAGCTCATAACAACAAGTCAGCGTTAAACAACTTGGTGTTACACATTCTTTGGAGTGTCTGTTAGGGATGCACCGATACCAATACTAGTATCGGCTATTGGCCCGATACTTCCTTAATAGACGCATACTGGTTAAACATTTGTCGATACCATGTACTGATACCACTGCAACGTGACACATTACGCTGTATCCTGGTTTCATTATCCCAAATGAGCCAATATCCCAGGATGAGAAACCAGCAGCCAACATAAATAAAGTGACTGTGCAGGAGTGAAATGACTGTTCAATAAAATTAAGAGACTGTGCTGCACATGTACGACCTGCAGACATATGACCTGCACACGTATAATCTCTGAAAAGTTTAACATGAACCATCTCAAACATGATATACACAGAACAGACTCACCATCAGCAGAACACTCCTCTGTCACAGAAAGAACACTCATATTCCACTGAGTCATGTCCTTTAGTCCGACAGAAGCTGAACTGCATCAGTGCACAATGGCGAGCGATTTTTTGAGCAATTAGTTTATGCAAATTAGCCATACGATTTTAAGTTTCATTCTGTAAAATGTAAACCAATGTACGCAAAGCTGCATTAAAACACAATATCTTGGTTGTTTGTATTTTTCCTGGTTTATTAAATATATATTTTTGTGTTTGCATTTGTAACATTGTGTCAAGAAGCTGGAATACTACATTTGATCATGTACACAGGGATATGTCCTGGTTTCTCAGCGCACATGTAAACACATCCTGAATACTGTCATAACTGAACCCAATATGGCTAATAACCGGATACTGATGTGCATGTAAATACATGGACGTGGAGGTTAAAGTATCGGTATTGGTACTCAGTATTGACAAGTACAGAAATGATTATATTCATACGCGTATCGTTTTTCAAAAAGTGGTATCGGTGCATCCCTAGTGTCTGTTACACACTCTGTGACATTACACATACTCTTATGTGTGTTCCGCATGTCATTACACACTCTATGATGTGTCTGCTACACACAGATTTGTTTATTTGTTGTTCTATTTGTAGTTCTATTTTGGATGTTCTCAAACTGACTTTTGGCACACTCTGGTGGTTGTTTAAGGGAATGCAACCTTGACATCAGAAACGTTTGGAAGTATAAATGTGATGACAGTTACTATGTTTGGAACGCACAGGATCTGTTCATGTACGAAAGTGAAGCATAAATGAGCCTTTACACGTGTCTCATTTGTAAAGCATAACTCTAAGGCCTCATCCACAATAGTTTGTACTTGAGTCATTTTCGTTGTGGATGCAGTGTTCGTCCACATTAATCCGATTGAAAATGACTCCAGAGATGGAACGATCTGGTGCCTCCAGCTCCCATGAATTCATCTGAGTACAGATCTGATCCGTCACTGTGTGGACGCCTGAAAACACTGATACTCTGATGTAGGTCTATGTGCCGCAAAGTAATTCACTGCCAAAACACTAGAATATCTGTCCATTCATATAAACGTGTGTCTGTGTGTACGACCTGCAGACGTATAATCTCTGAGAAGTTTAACATGAACCATCTCCAACGTGACAGAAACACAGAACAGACTCACCATCAGCAGAACACTCCTCTGTCACAGAAAGAACATATATAATCCACTGAGTCGTGTCCTTTAGTCCGACAGAAGCTGAACCGCATCAGCGACACAATAGCGAGCTGTTTTGAGTGCTCAGTTTATGCAAATTAGTCTTGCAGTTTTAAGTTTCATTTCTGTAAAATGTAAACAAATATGCTCAAGGCTGTGTGGATAGGGAAGGACTGCGGACACAGACACGACGTGTGTGGACCCAGATCGTTTCCAGTACGGTGATACGCAGATGTGTTTCACTGTAAACGGGGTCTAAATGGTAGTTTGCTGTCATTGTCTCAAGAGCCAGTTTTGAAACCCAGTAATAAGATAAAACACACATATAAGCAGTGTTGGGAAGGTGACTTTTAAAATGTATTCCCCTACAGATGACACATACCCCAGAATGTAGTTTGTAACGTAATCCATTAAGGTACTTAAAGTGAGTAATGTAATCTGAATACTTTGGATTACTTGATTTGCTGTAGAGAAGCAAAGACTCGGAAATTTTCACATAAGAAGTTTTGTCTTTCATTAACCAAATTAAAAATATTACTGATAGAAGAGGAGTCGCCGCGGTCCGCGTAGCATCATTTAGTCCTGTTAAATCCTGTTTTAGTCCTGTTTTAGACCTGCTTTAGTCCTGGTTTTAGTCCTGTTTTAGTCCTGTTTTAGACCTGCTTTAGTCCTGGTTTAGTCCTAGTTTTAGTCCTGGTTTTAGTCCTGGTTTTGGTCCTGGTTTAGTCCTGGTTTAGACTTGGTTTAGACTTGGTTTAGTATACGGAAATGAGTGGAATTAAGGAAAAAAAAAAAAAAGGGATATAGCCCAAAATGTAAAAACAGGAAAATACCGTCACGTAATCCACTTATTTCAACAAAGTAACTGTAATCCAATTACCACTCACTGAAACAGTAACTGTAACCGAATACAGTTACTCATAATTTGTACTCTGATTACGTAACTCCGGTACATGTAATCTGTTACTCCCAAACACTGCATATATGAACTATGCATTGTACATATTCAAGTTGGAATAATGTGTCAAGTCATGGAAAATATAGCGTGACCAAGAAACTGCTCAGCCTTACCTGTCGGAGTCCTCTCTTTCTCCCCAGTGGAGGTTGGATGAGTAGGTTCTGTTGGCCCGGTTCGCTCTGCACACTGGCCACCCTGAGCAGGACACCACACAAGCACCAAAGTCCGTGAGACGCTCCACACACCCACGTTCTACTCTACTGTCCACGGACTCCACAGCACGGCCACCAATGACAGCAGTACAGCTTCTACCACGCTACACAGTAACACTAACACAACGGGACAGCAGGACCTCGGGGAGCAACGCACACCGGAAACAACTGTGCGTGGTTACTTCGTTATCAACACCATATTGTGCTTTAATCACGTTACTCATGATTGTCTTATGTTTGAGTTTTGTTTCCTGTGGTTGCTACTCCAAGCTCCCTTCTGCCCGTACAGATTGGTCTCCAGAATCGGACGCCCAATTTGATCAGCGAGAAGCCTGATAGACACAAGAACAGTATGAAACACCATGATGGAAGAGCAGACTGTAAGACCCACAGAGAAACAACATGTACAAAGTGTAGTGTACGATCCGGGTTTGGACAAGTTATTCAGTTGATGACACAAATGTGAACACTGGTACAAATAATCTCTTTATAAAGGGACAGTTGAGAATTTAAGACAGGGTCTAATTTCCTAGTGAGCCAGAGTACTGTAGATATGTGGAGACACTTTTTGAAATATTCCATCCAGTCCTTGTATTTGCAGAGGTTGTTGGTGCTAGGCTAGTGCATGTCAATGGCCACAGTTAGCCTGTTACTAAAAACACCATAAAACCACAAAACACTCGAAGCAAATCTATTACACCAGACAGTCCATGTGAATGTCTGCGTTGACAGAATAATTTTAGAAGTAAAACTAACCTTGTATCGCATGAATCATCGCATGTTGAGGGATTTTCTCATATATCAGTCCGCAGCTGCCAAGTTTTCTATCAGGAAGAACAACTCACTGTTGCTGCTCAGACATAAACCCTTCAAATGCATTCACATGGACAGTCTGGTGTAATAATAGATTTGCTTCAGGTGTTTTGTGGACTGAGTAAGACTGTTTTAGTGGCAGGCTAACTATGGCCATTGACATGCACTAGCCTAGCACCAGCGACCTCTGCAAATACAAGGACTGGATGGAATATTTCAAAAAGTGTCTCCACATGTCTACAATACTCTGGTTCACTAGGAAACGAGGTCCTATGTCCAAAATTCCGAACTGTCCCTTTAAGAAATCAATGCAAGTCTTTAAGAATTCCAATGATGGGGTTACTTTCAAAGATTTCCAAATGATGACTCTGAAATAAATTGATCAAAAGAAAGTACCCTTTTATTGACCTTTCCCATATGTACTTTTCCTTCACTTCATTCTATCACCACGTGACAGACAAACAAGAAGAACAGTCAGCTCAAAACTAATGCTACAGTTAAAAAAAAGGTTTTACATTAAAAATATTTCAAGCTGCTTCCCCTTAAAAAATAAATAAAATAGATATAGATTATTGACTTCAAAATTGTATCATCAACTAAACACATTTTGCACTACTTTGCTACACCAACAGTCTCAGAGCAGGTACAGAGGTGACAGTGCTGTAGCCCAGGCCTGGAGGGGCCCTGGGCGTGTTTGAGAGGAGGGGGGCCCCGAAGGACAGGACAGGACACAAAACCCCTCACACACACACACACACGCACGCACACGCACGCACACCACACACACACACACACACACACACACACACACACACACACACACACACACACACACGTCAGAAGAGGAAGGGAGGTTAGTACAGGAGCTGAGAGAGGGACCAAGACAGGAGCAGACCATAAATAGACTGTATATATAAATGGACATAGCTCGCTCAATAGCCTGTGCGTTCCTAACAGGAAGTGTGCTCCATCGACTCCAATTCACTTTCTATTGAAAAATCATCATCCCTCTCTCTGTACCTGCTGCTGTCAGGCTCATCATTTGGTCTTAAAATGTTTCTATTAACCCACTCTACATGATCCTGCTGTTTTTACTGCACTGTTGTGTTCGTAAATCAAGTTATGAACATTAAAAACAGACAATATGCTTCTTCCCTCAAGGTCGCTCCTGCAACAGATTTGATTGACAAGCAGCCAGAAGGGCGGGAAATGGTGTTATCTTCAACAGCCTTGCTTCAGATTTGTTCTTTGGTTGGATGGTACTCGCTGTCTCAATTCCAATTATAAAACACAGCTCGAAATTGACCCTTATAACTGCTAGCCTCGATTGTCTTCATTTGACTGGAGCCGAACACTGTGGGTGACGTCACACTCACTTAGTCCATTTGTTTATACAGTCTATGGAGCAACCCCACGCACGCATATTTATCAGAGGAGAGGTGTCCTGACAGGAGAGAGGACAGAGACAGGAGCTGAGAGAGGGACAGTCCCATACCCACGCAGACATGTCAGGTGTAGAGAGACGGACCTGTCAGAACAGGAGCTCAGAGAGAGGACAGAGGACAGAGGACAGAGACAGGAGCAGTAGACCCACACAGAAACGTCAGAGAGCAGAGGGGACAGACCCACAGAGTGAGGACAGAGACAGGAGGTGAGAGGGACAGACCCGCACACAGATATGTCAGAGGTGGAGAGGGCTGGAGACTGGGGGTGGATGTGGTGAGCCAGCCTCCTCGATGGTGATGCCCCCCCAGCACCAGCGGGACACACTGTACAACAGCGCACACACTGTACCTAGAGAGGTTACTGTCCTGCAGGAGGGCCTGGGACTCATCTAGCACATTGGGTTCACTGTGAAGAGGGGAGGAGGAGGAGGGGAAAGACGGGAGTTTAAGGACGAGTCCACATCCACAATGTGCCCATCCCCTAGTGGTCATGGGACAAACAATCAAGATTAGAGCTACCTGGCAGAGAAGCCCCTTTTACTGATGATTAAAATAAAAAAAGGCAAAATAAAATGGTGTGCAATGGTGGTTTGCAGTCAAAAATCAGAATTACTTCACATTCTTAAAATTTGAGCTTCATCATGTTCATCAGAAACATACCTGGAGTTTGTTTCAGTCACACGTTTGAGTAAGCCAACATAATTAGTCCATCTCCTTCTCTAGAATACAAAACACTTGGTTCCACCAAGTGATGTCATTAGGTGGTAATCCAGGAAGTGCTCCTCATTGCTCCTGCATGCTTCCTTGGCTCCTTGTGATCATTTTAGACCTTGAAGAGCCGTCTCTAACATGTGTCTAAGCTCTGAAGTCCACAGGACTTCTTTAATTAATTTAATTTAACCTACTGTAATTCTGCTCATCAGTGCATCAGTCCTTTTGTTCATTCTGTGTGCTCAGAATCAGGGCAAATGTAACATGCAAATATGCTTTATTTCAGTCTGTTAAATCTTTAGTTTAGACAGTTACCTCAACTAAAGAGTTATTTTCTGTTTACCTCAGAAGTTGCAGAACATCATCTCATTAAACTTGCTGTAGACAGGAACATATACAAACATGTAGATGGTACTGTGTCATTTACCTTTGAGAACACAGAAAATGAAACCAAAACAAAACAGTGGGGCGGCTGTGGCTCAGTGGCAGGTCAGCACTGCATACTGTTGTTTTGTCCTTGGGCAAGACACTTCACCCATCTTACTCCTATGTGTTTGTGTGAAATACTCTAAGTGTGACTGGGAAGAGGATAAAATAGATACACTTGTAATAAAAATGGGCAGGTGTATAAAACTAATACAGCTTTACAATAGCCCTCCAAAGGGAGCTGTGGTCTAATTGTGTTCGGCTGAGAGCAGTTACCTGTGGCTGGGCAGCATGGTGCTGCGGTGGGCTTCAGCCTGAGAGGAGGTGGAGCCTGTGGCGTGGCTGGAGAAGCGGCGCTGGGACATGGTCCTGGGGAGGAAGGCCTCGTGTTCACTCACCACACTGGGGATGCTCATGGAGTCGTCTGCAGAACAGAAACACATCTGAGTACCTGGACTTAAACATGACAAGAGGAAATGGTGTCGTACTCTCTTCGTCGTCCTCGTCGGTACGGCTCAGCGTGTCCTGGGATGGTTGTCTGGAGGGCTGGCTGTCCTGCTCCCACACTGTCCCTGTGCCTGTGTTGGAGCGAGACATGGTGGCCAGGCTCAGGCGGTACGCTGAGGTGGAGGTGCCCACCGTGCTGATGGAGGTCTTCCCCTGGTACGCTGCACAACAACAAAACTAACCTGAATGTACATTCAGCTAATAGAAAAACAACAATATGAATACACAAAGAGAATTCATTTAAATTAAGTAAATGTAATAAATAGTTATAAAAGTAGTGAAACATAAAAGTCTAACCAGATCCACTGTGCACAGCCTCTTTCAGGATCTTGAGCTCGTTGTTGAACTCAGCGAACAGGGAGCTCTTACAGAGGGGGCGGGGGATGAAGCGCCGCTCCAGCTGGTCGGCGATGTGATGCCGCGCCGTGATCTCCTCCTGGGAGTCCGCTGGCTGGGTCAACAACTAACCAACAGAACAACGTCAATAAATACTAAATTATTTTGACAGAGTACAACATTTATCCACACTCATTGTCATGTTTTCATGTTAGCACCAAAAAGTTTCAAACAAACTCAAACAGACTTTGTGTTTGTTGCTGTCTGTGGTGGCTGACCTTGCACTGTATGAAGGGTCTGAGCAGGACGAAGATGGGGATGCGCGTGCGGACGATGAAGTCGATGAAGTCCCAGAAGGCCAGACCGCCCACTTTCCTCAGGGCCATCTCTTTGACCTGGAGACTCAGGCGGTACCACTGGTTACCCAAGGAGCGCTCAAAGCACACCAGCACCACCTTCAGGGCTACAGGAGAAGACAACTATTACTGAGTGATGTTAATTGATTGGATGAGCAGATGTTGGCAAAGTCAGTAGGTAATCATGTGAATTGTTACACACTGACCGAGATAAGCGGCCTGGCTCGTGGACTCGGCTAGCCCCTCTCTCCTCAGGTCCTTGCCCGTGTCTCCTGGCGTGGAGCAGTGAGCTGGGGAGGCGTCCAACATGAAGTTTTTAGTGCGAGACGTGGAGATGATCCGAGGAGGTAGTAGAATGTTAATGACTGTCTGAAGGAGCAGGAAGATCTCAGGAGGCTCGAGATGTGGGCTGTCTGGAATACAAAAGACACAGATATTGATGGACGGGTCTTAAAGGTGCTGCACCTGATTTTTACTGTGTTAAAACCATGAAAGACAGAACTAATTCATCTCAGTTCAACAGTGTGAAGTGCTGTAAATGATATTCCTCACTTCCCTAATGCATTCTGTGTATCCGAATTATTCACAGCAATGACTTCAAAAGAACTTTTCACAACTCTTTGAGACCAGAGCAGTGTTTTACGCTAACGGTAAAGCAAACAACAAACAGCACATTTCCAAGTTTGCTGACTAGTTCTTTGTTACATGACAAAAATCTTGTAATATTTTTTTTAAATTTTGCAATCCCTCATACTTGTGTTTACCTTTGCTTCCAGAGCCCACAGTCAGCACAAAGGGAATGAGCAGATTGAGCAGCATGCCCTCCCGCCGCTCTTGATTGGTGAAAGGGGAGATCACATGACTGAGAGGAAAGTCATCTTTCAAAGCCTGGAAATAAAAACAGACAAAAGTTAAAGTTGTATGCAGCGTTAAGCCCACAGCCCCTTGTGACTGGAGAGTGGAAGACCCTGCCTCTCATCCCTGCATACATTCACCTATCACGTCCATCAGTATGTTTGTAAAAGAATCATTTTTATTACCAAAAGCGCAATTATATTTTTAAAGAAACTGCATTGGAATGTATGTATAGTTTAAATCCAATTTCCAGTGCTCCCATATCAGTACACTTGTTTTAATGTCTGTCTGTGTATTTTAAAAAATTTATTGTTTTTATTGTTTTTAAGCAAAAACACCTCTGTGGAGACCAGAAAAATCAAAAAGTAGAGACAGATTTAAATGTTAATTTCAACTACTCGACACTTTGACCAGATGCATTTACAATATATATGTACTGTCACTAGTGTATCTTTGATTACAAAAAACTACTCCAAACCCAATCTAATCCGAAGTATGTTGACAGAGCCATACCTGTATTTGCAGAGCCACCAGGCGCACCACGGCAGTGCTGAAGGGCAGAGGGGGGGAGAGGTAGGGGCTGAGGTGGAGCAGAGGGAGGCCGTCTGCTACACTGGAGGGCCCCACCACACCCATCACCTAACAACACACACACAGAGGTTAGTCTAAAGAGACAGTAACAGGGACGGGGACAGTAAAAAAAATAAATCTTTGTATACAAAAATAATTAACCGTCTTTTCATTCAACAATAAAATAATTCAACTCAAGCTCATCAGGGAGGCGGGGGCGAGATATCGATAAATATGATATGTCAGAATCCATTTCGTGTTTAAGAAATATCTCAATATATTTTAAATATCGAGATAACGCCCAATCCTAGTTGCTGGTGAAGGGTACTAAAACTACCATCTATTCCATATTATAGTGTGTGTGTGTGTGTGTGAGTGTACATGTTTACCAGATTGACACAGACGTTGATGAGCGAGCGGAGGTGAGGGAGGAAGGAGATGATTGGCTGTCGCTGCAGGGTCAGGCAGATTCCTTCTATCAGGTTACTGGCCGCCTCCCACTCCACCTGTCTCCTATGGCAACCGTGTACGGCACAGCACATGCAGTCACCATTTGAGCAAATATTTACCCATGCACTCTTTGAGATAATAGCACTGATTACAACAATTCTCTTATCATATTTAACACAGACAGATAATTCGAACACATTTTGAATAAGACATTAGAGTAGTACCATATAAAAATGAAAACAACATTTAAAAACATCAAAAGCTCACAGACACTGAAACCGCACATGAAACACTTTGGACCTTTTACCCTTGAGCAGGAAATGGAGACTAACCATATCTGGATGTTTAGTTCATTCTTAGGTTGTTGTATGCCACTAGTATGCTGCAAAATAAACTCAAATCACATGAAATTTGTATATTAAGTAGTTTTGACTAGTTTATATTTGTTGTTTTATATTTATATATACTAAAACATTTGTTTAATTTAATACAATGTGAGGTTGACATATAAAAGAAAAAAAAAAAAAAGACAAAAGAATTTGAAGTAAAAAAAAAAAAAAATAGTCAAAACTACAGAATTTAAGATTTAAATTCAGGTCATTTAGCTTTGATTCCATGTTTTTATTGGATATTGTATTTTACAGTCACTGTAGTGGCTGGTCAGACTGGACCCCTGAGTAAACCTGATGTTTCTGTGTTTGATTTGATGATATAGTACGCACTTACCCAAGAGCTGCACAATAGATTGCAAAAATACAGATATCAAAACTCCATAATGGCTGATCCATTTGTCAGTCACGCCCCTCTGAATTGAGGAAATTCACCCATGAACACACTTACATCTTCATAAAGTATTAGAGAAGTGTGTATTCCAGATTCTGTGCAAGTAAGTTTCACAAAAAGATCATCTGTAGGGAAACCAAAGGGGCGGAGGCAGCACCATGGATCAGATTATATTAGTTTCTGACACTGTGCTGCAACTATTTATTTGGGGAAAAATCTGAGTAAACTGATGTGGTGATGTGATGTGACATTAATAAATTTCTAGTCTAGTTGAAGTACTGGCATGCATCCTATCATGAGACATATATGAACTTTGAATAAATACTTCCAAAAAGTGAATTCAGTATATTCAAAACACATGTATGTGCTGAGGGAAGCTCATGTAGATGTTACCAACCCTGAATATAAACTATTTGTTCATTATGAATTAAGCCTTTGTCCATGCTTTATTAAGGCTAATTAATGGTGATATAATGATATTATTATTGCATCTTTGTAGTAATATTGTGCAGCCCTCCCTTCCTCTTCCACATCCACAACACAGCAGCACTTACAGTACAGCACTTACGGCACAGCAGCGCCACCAGACCAGTGCCAAAGCCTCTACAGACTCTATGGATGTGCACACAGCACTGCACAGCACGTTCACAGCGCCACGACGACACACAGAGAAAGAGAGGTACCAGACCTGGTGCACAGAGCCTGCGGGCGCGCGCACCTGAGCGTGGGCATCTTGTGGATCTTGTTGAACATGCGGTCCAGCCTCTTGAGGATGAGGATGAGGGCGGGCCGCACAGCCTCAGAAGACCAGTCTGTGATGGGCAGCATCTCCATGATGTAGCGGCGCAGACCCCGGCTCTCCATGGTCAGGGTGTCATATGGGGCGAGCTTCAGCAGGGCGTGGGCGATCTCTGCCAGTCTGGAGACAGAGCTATGCTTTTACAACTAAAATAATATGATCAGATTCATATGGTAAGTGGTTAAAAGTGCACTGTGTAGCATTTCTGACGGAGGGCACTCCACATGTTTTTGCTTTGCCTATAATGTTGCACAGTTTCATTAAATGTATGGTCAAAATGGTAAATGGTCATATTTTATACAGCGCTTTTCCACCTTCAAGGCACTCAAAGCTCTTTACATCAAGAAACCACTCACCCATTCAGACACACACTCATACACCAGTGTACACAGACACTTGGGGTTAAGTGTCTTGCCCAGGGACACAACAGCATTCATCTATGGGAGCTGGAATCACAGCAGCCAACCTGTGGGTCAGTGGATTTAATTGCTCAACTGATGATGTTTTATGTCAAGAGCAGGATGAATGTATCCATCACCATGGGCACAAGCAGATCACCAGGCCAAGATACTGCTCAGGTCAAAGAGAATTGGGTTGCCCTTTTTAATGTTACATGTAACGTTTTAATAGAGGTTATTAAGGCAATAGCATTGACACACAAAGACTTTCTAAAAGCAAAAGTGTCCTCTGGTGAAGTTTTCTCTTCATTTGTAAAGTGTTTAACATGTTGCCACCTGCAGCCCCCTGTCCACTGCCTCATCTGTCAGGATTTAATGATTTAGCATGATTCAGCAGACACCTCATAGACATTACATTACAATGGAAATGTTGGAGCTGAGTATCCCTCTAGCTGGCTACCGTTGTGTCTTTTTCTGCTGGGGTAACTGGCTCTGTGCACAATAAGGGGTATCTGAGGACACATCTCCAGGTCTCCAGTTAAAGGTCAGGAGTAAGTGTGCTGTATTTGTAGCCCACAGTGGGTGTTTAGGTGCATAGGGAAAACTCCACACAGAACAACCACATCAGGTCTGAATCAAAATCAGGTCTTTCTTGCAGTGAGGCAACAGTCACTCAGCCACAATATAGGCATACAAAACTGAAATTACATTTGACACAATAGAAATCAGTGGAACTAACAGTCAGTACTCAATAATAGTAGTTGGTGCTAGAGCTGTAAGCTTTAAGCTGTTCGGCTGTTGACTCATATAAAGCTTAAAATGTTTAACAAGAGAAAAGAGAAGGCATCGTGTAAATTATTGAGTGTTTTCAGAGAGAATCAACTTTAATCGCCCTTTTTACAGTTATAAAGAAGATGCTGTGTACTAGCATCTCTCTTTATGTTGAGTTGTCATACTATCTGAATAGATACACAGGGTATATCTTTAGTCAACCAGCAACTTCTTTACTCTATAACTACTCCTTAGTTCTATACTGTGGTTTCAAAAGTACCTGCACATTAATTGAAACTAACAGTACAGATACTAATCAATACTACAGCTCAAAACTGGATACTCCTTTGAGCAGGTATCAATACTAAAAAGTCAGAATGACAGAAATGAACCTTTCCTGAATGTCTTTAGAATGATGCTGAGCTCTATCAGGACAAGTATTAAAGCACATAGACACTATGGAAACCATCCTGCACCACTGAGGATTACACATACGTAAAACCACATGGGAATAAAAGAACTATGATTTAATGTTGAAAATCAGATTCTATTGTCTAAAGAAAGAGTTAAAACAACAACACCATTGTGGTATCAGAATCTGTACTGATTATCGTGCCGTTTAAAAGACAGACCCACCTCATGTGAGACTTGATGTCCAGCAGCTCCAGTGCAGTGACCCTGGGCTCTCCGGCCACGTTTTGCAGGATCTTGAGTCTGGGACCACAGTGTTTGTAGAACTCGGTGCAGATGTTCAGGAGGGACTCTCGGGGACGACGGAACTCCTCCCTGGCGATGCGCTCGTCCAGCTCCTCTCGGGGCATGCCCTGACCCTCCTCCAGCAGGTGCAGGTTGTCCCTATGAAATATTCACACGTTATAGACAAGAATGCACCGTGAAATGGACAGATCAAATAGTTAGTATAGCACTTGAAATGAACTTAAAGGTGCACTGTGTAACTTTTCTGATGGTGGGTCCATCGCCTGGAATGTTCCACAGTATGACATGAAACAGATCTACCTTACATTTATTCAGTTACAGGTGCTCAAAAATACCTATAAAAACAGACATTCTGACTGTGAGTGGGGTCGCCTCTCCACAGATCTGACCTGTAACTTGGTCTGGTTTGGTCTCCATAAAGATAGAAAGGTTTAATACAAACAGAAAACACTCTCTTTCACCTTGCAATGTCATCTAATAATACAGGAAGTGCTCCACTGTGTTCCATACACCTTCACTAAAATAATGGTTGTTGTTAGCTTGAAAACTACCAATACATGACATCACAAGGTGGAACAGAGCACTTTGAGCTGTGTAGATGTAATAAATAACGAATAAATCTTTATTTATGAAGCACTTTTAAAAATAAGGTTTACAAAGTGCCGTACAAGCAGCAATGAACAATACAAGAAGAATAAAAATAGCAAAGAGAAAGCACAAAAACAGACAATGATGCAAACAATTCAATTAAATATAATAAATAAATAAAAAGAAATAAGGACTTTGGAACAGCCACAGGGACCTGCCTGAGGATCTGCGACTGTGGGAGGCTCTGAAACATAACTTGGTGGAAGACCTAAAAGAGCTTTAAATGTGATCAGTAAGATCTTAAAATCGATTCTAAAACACACATGTAGATATACGAATAATAAAGAGTTAATGTGTGAATTAAACAAAACCCACACAAAAAATGCACTTATTTTGTGTAATTTAGAACCTTTAAATATCACTCTTCCCAGGAAAAGTAAAAAAAAAAAAATCTAACTTACAGATGGTAGCTTTAAGCAGCCAGATATTTCTTGTAGATTATAGTTTTAGTTTTTGCAGTGCATGTATCAATGTTTTTCTGTAGACTCTTACCTGGTATTGACGCCTCCTGACATGGCGTGGTTGGCTGTTGTCCCTCCCTTGTGTCCCTGGTCACAGCGGGACATTTGAGGAGCGGTCATGGGCCTAGAACATAAATAATATTCATTTATTCAGGTATTATTATTATTACTACATTATTATTTATGATTACACATTGCTGTCCGTCCTGACCGTGTGAGTGTCTCCGAGCTGTAGAGCAGAGCCTGTAGGGACGTGGCCAGAGCGGCGATAGCAGCGATCTCGTCTCTGGCGGCAGACGCAGACTCCATGGTCACTGTGTTGCTCTTTAACTTCTGCAGGAAACAGGGGACCAGGGCCTCCAGCACCATCAGCATCTGCAGACTGCACACACACACACACACACACACACACACACACACGTTACAACAGGATCAAGTTTAAAATGTAAAAGAGGTAAAAGGTGCAATTTGTCACTTTTCTGGTTTAGAGTCTGACACATGTTTGGTTCCATGGGGATGACATTGTTTTACCTGGTAAGTTTCACTGTATTTGAATTTATTATTATCCCGAGCAGGTGGCAGACCCTCCCCTGAGAACTTACAGTGCACCTTTACATTTTTATGGTCTTCTTTATTTGAGCTTGTATTGACATGATACATTGTACAATTGTTAAAAAAGTCAACCTAACTCTTATTACTAAAACATCTCAAATAGCAACAGAAAGCTCTACAACTTTTTCCAGCTGACAAAATTGAACTTTTTGTTTGCTATGGGACCTACTTGGGTGACTGAGAGATTACAGATATCTTATACAATTTTAAAAATAATGAGTGAATTAAAACATGTTCAAATACTAGAAAATGTACAAATTAAAAATGAAACGCATTTCTTGGAAGTATTTAAAACCTAAAAATTGATCATTGTGGCAACTTTCAGCTTCAGGATCATTCATTAAGTTTGATGAACGTGTATGGATTTTAAAAAGATAATGGATGACTTAAAGTTTGAAATTTTAAGAAATTTTTGATCTGCCGATACCAGATATCAAACATGGCACCAGGGCAGAGACTGAAAATATGATTTATTTCCTCATTTTAAACACAAACAGTATATGGTAAAAATCTAAATCATTAAATGTAACTACAGAACAGCTTTGAAAAAACAAATAAGTCCAATATTAGGAGGTTCTGGGATTGGCCAGTAAAATCATCGTACATACACCAATGTATTGACCAAAATAGGATACTGACTAAACTGATATCTTAATTGCAATATCGGCACTGATATCCGATAACAGTATCACACTCTTGCATCCCTAAGAGGTGGGACTAAGTCGTCATTTTGCAAGTGTCAAGTAAGTCTCAAGTCTTTGAGTCCAAGTCAAGTCACAAGTTAAATACAGGCAAGTCCAAGTCGAGTCTCGAGTCACTGGCCCATAAGTCCAAGTCAAGTCCAAGTCGTCTGCTTTGAGCTTCAAGTCATTTCAAGTCTTTAAATCTAAGTACCAACTTGTACTAAAAAGTCATATTATATTTATATATGAGTATTTACAAAAGAGTTGTAGAAATGCATTTTTTTCCTTTTTAAATGTCTTATGAAGATCTTAATGTGAATCATTACGGTCAGAATAGAAAGAATTCAGATTTAAAAGTGCTTAATAATAGTTATTTTGTCATGTAGTCTCCACTGAAATGGAAGGATCATGTTCCCTCTGTTTTACTGTATTGTTCTGTATATTACTGTAGAACAATTGATGACACCAGATCACAGTACTTCAGTTCCATCCAAAGTAACAGAGAAGTGGGAGGGACATGTTTCAGTTTGTTCCTGTAAAATTCAGTACAGCATTTATCAAATGCAAAGAGAAAAATATTTTCTAAAAACATATTTTTTTAGGAGAAGCATCAAGTCTTCTCAAGTCAAGTCAAGTCTTAAGCCACTGACCTTTAAGTCCAAGTCAAGTCCCAAGTCCTAAAAATAGTGACTCAAGTCTGACTCGAGTCCAAGTCACGAATTACAAGTCCCCAACACTGACATCCCTACATACAATCTCCAAAACCAAAAGAGCCACACAATGACATAAACACATTTTGACAAACATTAGCTCAGTAAATTTACCATGAAGAATCTAATTTATCCAACATCCACGTTTTAACTTTTGAAGACAGCAGATACTGGAGTTGAAAAAGTGTAATGAGCCCCCCCTTTGTCTCTTACCTTCTGAAAGACTCTGGGGCGTAAGCGACAACTGTGACGCAGTTTGATGGCCTCACTGATGGAGAAGGCCAGGTCCTCATTCCCGTAACAGAAATCTGCATAAGATAACACAACTGTTTAATGACTTTCAACATAAAACCCATACAGAAATCTTTTTTTTACTCCAGTGAGACCAACCTAAAGATCGCAGTGGTTTCTCAGCTTTGACGAGCTCCAGGGCGTCCAGAGCGTCTTGAGTCTCCCCTTCCAGAGACACCAGCAGGTCGAACAGACACTGGGCGGACACACCTTTGGACAGGCCTGTGCTGGTGCTGGTCTGTGGGGACAGTATGTAATATGTAGTTTAGGTTCATTTGAATGTCCATGTGATGTCAGTGTGGGTGCACATACGGTGAACTCCAGCAGGGGGGCGACGCTGGCGAAGAGCTGCAGGATGAAGGGTTTGCGGTGGAGGATGTAGAACTGTCGGCAGCAGAACTCGATGCCCTGGCGCAGTAAAGGGTTACTCTCATAGTCTGCATACACCTACAACACAACAAATGTATGGATCACCTTAAGTCATATCACAAGAACATGATAAATATTTAGAATTATAATGGGTATTTTACTTATATTATCAAGCAGGTAAACTGGGCTCAAATGCAACACAAGTATACAAAAACAAAATCTTAGTTTAATAACAGAAAGTGTCCTATAACAGGTAATATGTTTAACATGACAAATCAGAGTGAAAACACAACAGAGGAACATATGATTATCAAATGTGAATGAAAATATCTTCCAAAAACTGGGAATTAATACTGGTGGGATTAAACTCAGACAGGTACTATAAACAGGAATAAAGCAGAATGCACAAAATCCAAACAACCGAATACAAGATCAGAGTTTCAGAGAGCCTGAGTGTAAATCTTCACAGGTTAATAATCTAGCAAAAACTGAGTGAGGAAGAGGAGTATATATATAGACGACCCTGGACTGATTGGGGAATGAGAAGCTGCTGTAGGAAAAGGAGGGAGGAAGCAAAAGGAGGACCGGAACAGACGGAGCTGGACTGGGGAAAACATGCAAACAAAGGGCAGAACCGTGACAATACTGGGCTTTTAACTGCTAACACATAACATATTTAGATCACCGTGTTACCGATTATTGTTTTCAGAATGCTATATTCATCAAACACAACATATGAACATGTTTTATAAGTTTTACGTGAGTGCCTCCTCCCCTTTCAGAGCACTATCACAACACAATCACTGTGCTTCCTGCTAATGAAACTACTGCACATCAAATCAGGTTTATCAAGTTGTGTGTACAGTTTTGTATCATGTTTTTGTACATTTATTGAAAATTGTGGTGTGGGAGCATGAGTGATGTAGGCTTATGGGCGGAGCTTTGTACAGAATCTTACAGCCAGACGGTTTGAATAGGGCCCAGGAGAGATCACTAAAAAGATTTTGTATAATACCCTCTCTTAAACATCATTTTACATAAGATCTGTGACAGACCTGCAGCATGGTGGGCAGGATCCACTGGTAGCCGCTGAGGGAGAACAGGTGGTTGAAGTGCACGGCCGTGTTGATGGCAGTAGCGGTGTACTGCCTGAGGAGGGAGCTGTCCTCCGGGTGCAGCAGCAGAGCTCCGTTGAAGACATTGAGGAAGAGCATCATCTCGTCTCCCCAGGGGTACTCACTGGGCATGCCCAGAAACATCTCCTCCAGGAGTTTGATCCACAGCACCTTGTGCAGGGTGTCCAGGCCAAACAGCTCTTTGCCTAAGACACAGATGCAAAGGATATTTCAAGATTTACATTTGATTATTCCACAAAATACATATTTACTAATAAGCATTACTTTACTGTCTGTAATCGACCTATTATTATGCAAATCATCCGATAATATCATGGCAAATCTTTGGATGTACTATTTCAGTGCATGTCCTTTCACTGTAATGTAATGCAAGTGTATTTTTCATGTGAAGTGACTAAGGCTGGCACGGGGTATTGGATAATATGTACAGGATTTTTTAAAGTAATTTTAATAGAGATAAAATTATTTATTTAGCTTTGAGTGATTTTGACTAGTTCAGAGTTTATTTAATCATTAGACCCATTAGTGTTTACTTTAATCCTTGATGGGGGTGTTCAAAAATATCTAAATATTGTATTGTTTAATGTGATTATACAGTATTGATATCATGTCGATATATCGCCTAGAGTATTTTTTGGTATATTTTACAAAATAATTTTCTTACAGCTGCAGTTTTGTTGCTTGTTCTGAAATAAGAGGGAAACTCGTTTATGTGACACATTTGACATTGTCATTGTTTTGATGATTAAAATGGGTGTGTTTCATATGTTAACAAAGACTTTTAGTATCACAGACATGATTTAGCCTTTATTTTTTCTTGAACTGTAGGCCTATCGAATCAATTTGAAATATATGGTATCGACTCGAAAGCTCACTGTATCAAGCAGTGGTCTACGTACTGGTAGGTACGTACCATATGAACAACTCCTTAATGATACCCACTAATGCTTGAATTGATTATTTACAACCTTGTATTACTTTGTTTATGGCAGATGGCTTTTCATTTGTTTGAAAACAAGAAAAAACAACAACTTCAGAATCAGAATTGAATATCCTGAAACAAGTTTCTTATAAAAAGTAAAAATACAACAATGTATGAAATATTATCTTAACAAAATGAATATCTCAACTCATGTTTAACTAAAGTAGATAGTTTTAACCTTAAGGCAAAGAGATTCAGAGGTAGGTGTTTTAAGTTCAGTTATATTTACATTTACTTAGTTGACTTTGAAAAATGACACTTGTGGGAGTGAAATAGATTGTGTTCTATTCTGACAGCCTCCCTGCTCTGGCCTCTCACCTTGTGGCTCATTGAAGAGGGAGAACTCGGCGTCGATGGCGGTGCGGGGGAACGAGGGCAACCGGAGCAGGTCCTCCTGGAGCAGGGACACGTGGGACTGTTTGTGCACCGCGGGCATGTTCTGAGTCAGAGAGATCAGGAACAACACTCTGCCCACCTCCTCCAGCTTACGAGAGAACACCTACACAAACACAACATCACAACAGAGACACCATCAGAACTCTGAAACACATCCATCCATCTGTCCATCTATCCATCCATCCATCCATCCATCCATCTATCATCTATCTATCCATCCATCTATCATCTATCTATCCATCTATCATCCATCCATCTATCATCTATCTATCCATCTATCATCCATCTATCATCCATCTATCCATTCACCTATCATCCATCTATCATCCATCTATCTATCCATCCATCTATCATCTATCTATCCATCTATCATCTATCCATCTATCATCCATCTATCCATCTATCATCCATCTATCATCCATCTATCATATCACATCTATCATCCATCTATCATCCATCTATCATCCATCTATCATCCATCTATCATTCTATCATCATCTATCATCCATCTATCATTCACCTATCATCCATCTATCATCCATCTATCATTCACCTATCATCCATCTATCATCCATCTATCATTCCATCTATCATTCACTATCATCCATCTATCCATCCATTCTATCATTCACCTATCATCCATCTATCATCCATCTATCATTCACCTATCATCCATCTCATCCATCCATCCATCTATCATTCACCTATCATCCATCTATCATCCATCTATCATTCATCTATCATCCATCTATCATCCATCTATCCATTCATCTCATCATCTATCCATCCATCTATCCATCATCTATCCTCCATCTATCCATCTATCTATCATCCATCCATCTATCATCATCTATCCATCATCATCTATCCATCCATCCATCTATCCATCTATCCTATCCATCTATCCATCTATCCATTCATCCATCTATCATCTATCATCCATCTATCTCCATCTATCCATCATCTATCTCATCTATCTATCTATCTATCTATCTATATCCATCATCCTATCCATCCATCTATCCATCCATCTATCATCATCCATCTATCATCCATCCATCCATCCTCCATCTATCCATCATCATCTATCCATCCATCTATCCATCATCTATCCATCCATCTATCTATCCATCTATCCATCTATCCATCTATCCATTCATCCTATCATCCATCTATCCATCCATCTATCATCCATCTATCCATCCATCAATCTATATCTATCCATCCATCTATCATCTATCCATCTATCCTCCATCTATCCATCTATCATCCATCTATCTATCCATCTATCTATCTATCTATCTATCCTCTATGCTCCATCTATCTATCATCCATCTATCCATCATCTATCTATCCATCTATCCTCTATCTATCCATCCATCTATCCATCTATCTATCCATCTATCCTCTATCCTCCATCTATCCATCCATCTATCTATCATCTATCCATCCATCCATCATCTATCCTCCATCTATCCATCCATCTATCATCTATCCATTTATCCCCCATCTATCCATCCTCTATCCATCCATCTATCCATCCATCTATCATCATTCACCTATCATCCATCTATCCATCCATCTATCATCCATCTATCCTCCATCTATCCATCTCATCATCTATCCATCCATCTATCCATCCATCTATCCATCCTCTATCCATCCATCCTATCTATCCATCTATCTATCTATCTATCTATCTATCTATCTATCTATCTATCTATCTATCTATCTATCTATCTATCTATCTATCTATCTATCTATCTATCTATCTATCTATCTATCCATACATCCATTCATCCATCTAGTGAAAGTGAAACTGATCTGTTTATTTATTTATTTATTTGGTTTAATTTTTCTTTCATCAAAAATTCCGACATAAAGTTAGGACCTGTTTCTGGATGAGCTCCTGGCCTTTATCAGGGAGCATGTGGACCAGGTTGAGCTGAGGAGACACAGACCTCCGGAACGGGTAGATGTCCCTCACGTAAGTCTGAAAGAGAGAGGGAAATATTACTTCAATCATTATAGTTCGTTAAAAAAATGTAGATTTATATGATGATTTTACCTTGGAGTAGTGAATCAGGTTCCACCGTTTGTCCATGAGGAAGTAGTGAGCAGACCGGGCTTCAGGAATATTGAAAAATTCCAGACACTCCTAAATGAAGAAAATACACAAATTATTTAGACATTTTAAACTTTGCAATTTGGTTATATAACATAAACTTGAAATAAATACTTACTTTGAGCAGTGCTTCAAACTGGGTGTCCTCGTGCACGGGGAGTTGTGTTGGGATGTCACATTCATTTTGCCCATGGACCACCAGTGTCTTAGTCCCTGCAATAACAGCAACATCAAAAACAAACTGAAAAAAGCACTGAAACTTGTTCAGTGCAAATGTTATTAATATTTTAATTACTCAAAAAATAGTATGGATTCAGCGATTTTATAATTTTAAACACGTAAAAATATAATACAAACAATGGGCCTCATTCATGAAACATTCTTATGAACAATGGTGGTCTTCTAACTGCTCTGTAGGAACAAATCCTACGAACACTCAGCACTCATAAGAACAAAAATTGTACTGTTTTAGAATATTATCATTCTGATAAGGCAACTAAAAATTCTAATTCCTCCGTGATTGTAAGTGATATATTTTTTTAAATAATTTCCTAATTTCCTAATAATAAACATATGACTGTGTGATCCAATAATATTTATGAAGCCTTTTTTTATACAGGCTGCAGTGAGCCTCAGTCTGTCCCAGCCCCAGTGCCTCCATATGGGCCACTATCACTGCCCTGTGCCATGGACGTTGAAAACACATAAAACACTTTGTGATCACCTAATAACATCACAAAAAATAGCAAAGCGTTTGAGCTTTGGAGAGGGAGAGAGACTAAATATGCAGGTCTACTCAAACATGCACAACTTCAAAAAAACACATCTCTAAGTATGTTATTGATAGTAAATTATAACATTATTTCAAAGGTGCACTGTGTAACTTTCTGGTGGTGCTTCACTTGCTTGTCTCTATGGTGATGTTACTGTTGTGTCTGGAATATCCCAGTGTGGGATTAAACATATCCATCTTGCATTTACTCAATAGCATGGCTTTTTATGTCCCTAAAAACTTGCATTCTGGCTGTGAGTGGGCTTGCCCCTCCACAGATCTGACTCATGTAACTTGTAAGGATACACAGATTCAGCTTTTTCAGTTCCAATACCAATACTGTCTCTTTAACTATGTGCCGATACCTGATATTAAATGATATCAGTGCAGAGCCAGCATTGATATCCTTAAAACTAAGAATACACAGGGACACAGCTCTCAAAACTGGGACTGTCCCGGGTAAATAGGGACGTTTGGTCAACGTACCATGGAGACAAGCAGGTGACACACCCTCCACCAGAAAGGTTACACAGTGCACCTTTAAGAAGTACATTTAGGAGTCACTGGGACTGTTAGTTGCTCAGTAGTAGCGGTAGAGTGACTGACCGGGCATGGAGGCGGTGACCAGCAGCTTGACCTCACACTGCTCCTTCTTCATGGTCTGCTTGAGATCTTTGAAGAAGAGTCCCTCCACGTACCGCACCACCTCCCACAGGAACGTGAGCGTGGCGGAGATGGCGTCCATGCCCCACTCGCACGGCGTCCTCACGAAGTACATGATCAAGCCCACCTGAGGTAAACAACAGCACGAGGGAACGCAAAAACAATGTAGACAAGTCGATACTGGGGTTCACCAAATGCTCGTAGGTAAACAGAGATCTAGCAACATCAAATAAATACACACAATGGTTGCATTATACCTCCTGAATCCCTATACAATATGCTATACATGACTTAACAGTATTGCAGGGGTAAAAAGTAACTAATTACAGATACTCACATTACTATAACTGAGCAGATTTGTTCAGAATTGCACTTTTGAGTAGATTTTTAAACCATACCAGATGCTCATAGGTAAACAGAGATCTAGCAACATAAAATAAATAATAATATTTTTTTTCATAGGAAATTGCAGAAAATGGTTGCACTGAACCTCCTGAATGACTATACAATATCCTATACATCACTGTTTACCAAAAAGACTGGGATTTATAGATTTTTTTGGGTCGCCTTGTCTTAATCTGCATGTAGTTCTGCAATATACAGTTCTGACAGATGTTCAAATGTTAAGACATGTTTTGAATAATTTCTCATCTTTTTGTAATTATTTTATTGACTGTTTTGTTTCAGTATTGCTGGTTCAACTGAATGTTGAAAAGAACAAGAAATGTTCTACATTTATTGTCCAAACAAGGTGAATTATGGATCCTTTTATTGCTGCTTCAATGACTGTTTTTCATTGTTTCAAACTTGAGTAATACTAATTGTTCAGAGACACGATCACTCAGTCAACAATAAAACATCCCCATTAACATTCAGTAATGGGCAAATCCATCTTTATTTTGTGATTTATGAATAATGTCTATCGACTTGAGTCGTAAAGTTTTGTGACATTTAAAATATGGGAAAAAAAGTTTGGGAAACACTGCTGTACATGACTTATTGCAGAGGTGGAAAGTAACTAACTACAGATACTCACATTACTGAGTAGATTTGTTCAGAAGATTAAAAACTACTCCAGATGTACTCCAAAGTAGATTTTTAAATATGTCTTTGTTATTGAGTATAATACGCAAATAGAAAATAGCTGTATTTAAATCATACAATGTATTTTATTTATTTTACTTATGTACTGCTATTTTATGATTTTTATGGTTTTGTTTGCTATTTGCTCTGCTATTTGATTTGACTGGTTTTATTGTTACTGTATGACCAAATTTTTAGCAGTTTACCTTTTTGTTATGTTCTCTTATTTTCTGATCTCTGTGCAGCACTTTGGAAACTGCTTTGTTTGTAAAATGTGCTATAGAAATAAAGCGGATTTGGATTTGGATTACACCCACAAACACATAAAATGACCCAACAGAATAAGCAGATTTCAGGAATAAATAAATAAATAAAATGATAGAAATATTGATATTTAGTCACATCTGTGTATTTGGATGATATGCTGCAAGCCTTTGTGAAAAAATATGTGCCTGGATGTGTGTGTTTCGGTCTGTAGATGGAGAGTGGTTGATTCCTCACCAGGTAGTTGAAGAGGATGTGTGAGGTCTGAGCCGGGAGGTCTCCAATGTTCAGCAGAAGTTTCCTCAGCATGTAGATCAGCTCATCCTGGAGGGCAATAAGGTTTGGTTTATTTCTCATTTATAAACCAAGATTTGTCAGAGATTTTTTTCAACTGGTTCTAATCAGAAATGGCCAACAGAGGGAAGCAGAGTGTAGCTTTAATATTTCCCATATACTATTATAATCTAACCCTTTAAATGTATGTTTTTTTGTTTTTGTTTTGGATGTTATTTCACTTTGAAATATAAAAAAGAGAAAATATATAGTTCATAATTGTTTGCTTCATACTAGTAAACTGAAGCAGACTGGATTTCAAGGGTTTCCTGATCGATCACTGCTTTCTGACTTATAACTTGATCTTGTGGCATCACCTGCTTGTCTCCATGGAAATAGATCATCTTAATGCCATACTGTGGAAGACTTCAAGCAAAACTACAAGCATCTCCATGGAGGCAAGCAGGAGACTGACCCTCCCTCCATCAGACAAGTTGCACAGTGCACCTTTAAGTCAGAATACATGTTTAACAGATTCTGAGCCTTTAATCTTCTCTTTACCTGTCTGTTGCTCACAGTTAGCTTCTCCAGGAAGTGGCGCAGAACCAGAGCTGGGTCTTCAATCAGACAGTTCCACAGGATTTGCTGGGCAACTGCACTCACTTTAAAGAAAGAGAAAAAAGTGTTAATAAATGGCTGCTTGGGATCACTAACAAATATATCATATTTGTATTTTACCAGCCACCCCGTCCTCCCGAACCTCCCCGTCCTCCATCAGGTGCACTATGGGTAGGACTGCAGCACAGATGCATGCTGGGAAGACGGCCTGAGGGGGCTGGAGCATGTGGTGAGTCGGGGTGTGCTCAGTTGTGTTCTCCTCATCTAAAAACATTAATATTTCTTCATTACTATAATGCTAAAAGTTCAAAACACAAATACGCAAAGTGACGGTTTGCTGTAAAAAATGTGTCTGTTATCAGCACAGGTAGACAGTGTTACAGATACACACAGATACACACCCTCAGCACTGGCCAGTGAGCGCACGGACCACACAGAGCCCCTCCTGAATGAGTAGTTCCTGTGGGAGTTACTGGAGGCACACGAGGGACTCACGGAGAGCCGGCGCGACGCCAGGTTCACCACTTCTTCTGCTGGCAGATCAATAACACCATCAGAGAACAGCGACATGTACAAGTGAAAACATATAGAAACATATGGAAGCTTCGGACTGGGTCTATTCACTCTCAAAATATTCACATGCAGTCGTGGGGAATTACTCTTAAAATCTCTCTCTCTTATATTACACATACTACGCAATATGTAGTAGTAGTCAATTGTAATGAAACATTTTGAAGGAGTCTGGTCACGGTTTATGTGCTTGTATTCAGGTGTGTGCGTGTGTCCCGGCCCCACCTTCCTCCTCCTGCTCGGGTGGGGGGCTGCAGGTGGGCTCGTAGCAGGCCTCCTGGGACACAGGGATGGCCGTGATGATGCTCGCCTCTCTGCCCAGACGCCTCTTCTCCTCCTCCTGCTGCAGGTTCTTCAGGATGTGCTCGGCCCGCTGGTGAGAGCGCGACACTGCACGGGCCGAGAACGATTTCTACACATGGGACGGACAGAGAGGCAACAGATAATATGGAAAGATTGGGTGTGATACCTCGTTTGTCCAGGAGGGGTCCAAGGTAGGAGACGTTTCAAAGGTAGTCTTATGGACAATAGTTTTGAAATTGAGATGTTTGGACTGCTATCCAAAAATCATTTTCAGGCTACAGTACAGTAATTTTTGATTGAAAGTGACATCCAGAGCACAATAAATCGCAATCAATATTGCAATTATCAAATCGCAAAAGCTGTAATCATTTGGTTAACAGAAAGTCTTCATCATATTTTTTTAAATGAAAAATCTTGTTGTACCTGTAGTTTAGACCTCTACAAACATGTTCTGAAATGTCCCTGTGTGTCAGATGCCCTCCCTCTGGGTCCATGGGGTCTTATTCTGTGAAAAAGCTGCAAGTCCTGTAGTTTAGACCTACAAACATGTTCTGAAATGCATGGTATTGTTTTATTTATCTGTTCATATTTCAGTCTTCTGTCAAATGTTAATGCTCCTGGAGCAGTTTACAATTTACACGTTGACCCAGAAACCTACTTTTTAAACTTGTATCACAAATCTAATCAAAATTGTAAAGCTTGTCTAAAAATAATCACAATTTGATTTTTTTTCTCCCAGAATTTCAGAGCCCTATTCCAGATGGCAGTCAGAATGTCACAGTTTCAAAAACATTGTCCACATGATTACCTTTAAAACCTTTCCTATCTTTATATAAAGATGTTTTTTTAGTATTTTCATAGACTCTTATAGAAACAGTTGCATGTAGCCTGAGGAGCAGTTTGGCGATGTAAGATGGCTGAACAACACACAAATACAGTAACTCTCCTCCCGCTCGCTAACTCTCAGATATGACTTGTAAAAATTGCAAATATATAAAGAAGTTATTGATACTTTGCAGTGACATCACATGGGGGGGTATACTCACAGTGTGAGTGTATACTAGTCTATGTGCTCATACTTGTTCTGACACAGCTCAAGATCTTTCTAAAGACATTCAGGAAAGCTTCATTTCTGTTCTGTAAATGTGACATTTTTAGTATTGGTACCTGCTCAAATGATCTAGTTTCAATACTAGTTTTAGCATCAGTTAGTATCTGAATTTCTAGTTGTAGTTTCAAGTCAGTTCTTTATGATTAGATTGTGTTAAAACAACTCAGATTAATGTCTACATTTTTTATATTGAGGGACTGTTGGTTAAATTCTTTAACTCTTGATTTTGAACTTCAAATTAACAGTTTAAAATGAACTGTATGCACAGTGAGTGTTATGTAATGCTTTTTAGCCACGCTGGCTCTAATCTTTACATATTTACATTATATGTTCATTAATATATGTTGTTCCTTTACAAATAAATACTGTATTTTTCAGACTATAAGTTCCACTTTTTTCATGGTTTGGGTGTTTCCTGCGACTTATACTCCGGTGCAACTTATATATTAAAATATTCACACTGACAGCCACAAGAGGGTGCTCTAAGCTTGTGTGTCAGTATCTGTTATCAGTATCTGCTATTTCTCCTGTACCACTGTCACTTCACTCTACTGCGCATGTCTGTATCATGTCAGTCGATCGTACCATTACTTCTGTAACACTGAACAATTTAACATTTAAATGACTTCAGTGACACTGAAACCATCCTGTCGGGATTCAGAAAGGCCAGAATAATTCTAACTGGAACTGATGCTGAGTCTGACAACAGCTACACAGAAGAGGAAGCAACGCTTTGTTTACCTCCGGAGGTCACAGAGTTGCTCAGAAGTGACACAGAGGATGAAGAATTGAATGGATTTAGTGATTTGGAGTGAGATGGAGAGTTTGGTAAACTTGTTCTGTTCTGTTGTTTATGTTATAGTTTATCTGAAGAACTGTTCATATGTGACATTAACAGTCTGTTGTTCTCTCTTCTATTGTTATTACTAGAACTTGACTTTCAACAGGAAATGCTGGTTCCTGGTCTTTGATTTTATAAAATACATTTCCCCAAAAAAGTGCAACTCATAGTCTGGTGTGACTTATATATGTTTTTTTCTTCTTCATTATGCATTTTTTGACTGGTGCAACTTATACTCAGAAGCCACTCATAGTCTGAAAAATACGGTAAATAAGAAGAATAAGATGTTGGAGTAGCAGCATGTAATCGTTGTAGTTCTAGTTAAGTAATTTCTTTACGGTCAGACTGTGTTAAAATAAAGCTCAGATTAAGCCGCATGCCTACAGCTCACGTCACCCAACAAAAGTATTGTTCATGACATCATCTGCAAAGTATCAACACGGTCTAAAGTGGTTGTTGGGAGAATTGGCTGTATCGTGTGTACAGTGAATGCCCCACAGCATTGACACAGTACTATTCCACAGATACAGACACAAGTGGAACATCGAAAAACAGCAAAGTCATTCTCATCCAATGACCATGCAGGAACCACACCAAACACACAATGTCCAATGCCCGATGCATGCTGTTATTTTTACATTTTATCCCAAAAAAAACTATAGACCAAGATGCAGCAATTCCGGAATGACTTATGACTTTTTTTTTTAATTCGGGGGTCCGACATGGGGGACCTACAGGCGCTAACGGAGGTCAAGGTCCTGCCATTGACAATCAGAAGTAACAAGATGCATCAGCAGCACAAACATCGGGGACAGAGATACAACTTACTATGGTATGGACTGATTGAATTAATGTGGGGTACTAAAAACAAAAACATAGGTCGATAGGTAAATTATATTTCAGAGTCATGCTAACCACAGCAGATGGCAACAAAGTAAAACAGCTCAAAATTGAAAAAAGAGAATCTTATAAATCAGCATTTTGGGGTCATTTAAGAACAGAAATGTCAGCAGGTTAGCGCCACATGAGCCAAAGGTACATGCATTTTGAGTTCATGTATTTTGTGGGCTGCAAACTTGGTTGTCTCCATGGAAATGTTAAAGTTTTACCTGGCGTTTTGTACAAAAAGACATTAAAACTTTTTATCACTATGGAGACATGAAAAGCTAGGACTATGGCCGAATGTCCTCCCCAATCCCTAACACCTGAAACACTACATTGGCCTGTGTCCTGTCGATTTGAGCTACCCATCGATTTGAGCTCCCGAGGCAGAAGTGGAGTAACAAGTCACATTTTAAAAGTGTATTGGTTTTATTCTAGTCTGTTTTGATCAGTTAAACATCGACATGTATGTCAGAAAATCTACCTTAGACGATTGAATAGTTTGGATTTAATATTAGATTATTAACCCAAATTCATATAAATGACTGAATAGTGATGATTCTAAAAGTGGGAGCATTATTCAGTGGCTAAATTGGCCTGTTGGTATGTGGTGCCTTTCATTGGAACACTATTTGAGCAGAATACAATGTGCAGATTCATATAAATGAGTTGAAATTTGACATAACCAAGGTATAAAGTCTGATCACCGTGTGCAAACAGCATCAACATGTAAATATTGATATAATATAAAAATATAAGGTGGCTTATTTCAATGGGGCAGCGTGAATCGATAGACGTCACTGTGAATTTAGGCGGCTGGGAGCTCATTTTGACGGGACAGCCCATCTCAACAGAACACCTGCACTCTTTAGCGGACTTTATAATGCATTTATTCACAGACACATTCAGACACAGAGATTACTATTTTCGGGTCACGTGAAAAAAAAAAAAAAAAAAATCTCTAATAAATAATGATCCAATTTGAGTATTTATGTATAAATAATAACCAAACAAGTTTCTACCAAGATGGAAGTCATGTAAACCAACTGGATTATTCAGCTTTTGTTTGTCTGAGATGTGGACGGTTTATTTAATTTAGTTTTATTTGTAATCATGGATCAACACTGCATTAAAACAGCTTCTATCTGCTTTCAGTGTCCAGTTTCAGACCTGTTGCTGTGTCTGCTGTTATTTCCTTGTGACCAGCCGTGGACACTACTTTTCAAGATGCATTGTGGGAAATTTTCACTCACTAAAATGGTGTAATCCCTAACTAGTTCTGTGAAGAGGTGACTTTGCTCACAGTACAAATCCATGTATTTCATGTGGCAGATACACCACACAAAAAGCTACACAGTGCACTAATAATGAGTAAGAATTCTCATTTGTTTATTTAATCATAACTGCAAATAGCTTTGGTCATGTGGCATACAATTTTAAGCGCTATTTTAAACATAAAAAAATATATTGCGCAAAAAAAAAAAATTAATCATTAATTTAACAAATTTATAACATCAATAGATAATTTTGTCTGCTAGTTAAATAGACCTTACCAAATACCATTTCAGTAATCACTATAGATAGACAGATCCCATAATAACACAACATTCACATCTAGAGCTAAAATAGAAATGGTGAAGTTGCGTACATGACTTACAGACTGGTCTTCGTTGATGGGGTCCTGCACACTGCCCGTGTTCTGGGGCACCCACGGGGGGTCAAAGATGGGCACACAGGGCATGCCCAGGATGGGGGAGGGCAGCGTGAAGTTGATGCTGGGCGGAGGGATCTTTAACAACATGTAATAGCAGCATTAGCTTTAGTGTACGAAACAGAAAGAGCATGAAGGGATTCAAATGAGCATGTTTTACCAACACCAAAACAACTTCATACAAGCCTCATTTCTGTCATTACCCCAGGGCAGCTGTGGCTACAACAATCACTGACTGTGGAGTGAATTTGTGAAGCTCAGGTCGCTTTCACACCACTAGTTTGATTATTTGGTCTGCACCAGGCAGTACAATTGTTATTATGTAGCATCGTGACTCCAGTGTGGTCCTTTCACACAGGCAAATGAACCAAAATTGGTCCGGTTGACATTTCATCAATGTTTATCTTCTGGTAAAAATAAGCGTCAATTTTGTGTCACACTGGAGTGACACGTTCACACATTGGTACTTGCTCTGTATGACACTTTCTGTATTGGCCATTGTTGGCAAAAAATCCAATTCGAAAATGAGTCACGGCTGCATCTGGAGAACAATCTATTATTGCACTGGAGTCACCAAAGGCATATAGAGCATCTTTTCAGGCAGGTTCACATGTTCCCATGTCATCTACACTCATCACAAACAGGAAATGAAATAATTAGTATCCATTCCCATTATGCATTTTGAATAGTTGGTTTAGACCTACAGTCTATGGTTTGGAGCTGAGTTCATGTTCTCACCAGAACAACTGCACCAGAATTTGGCAATTAGTGCGGATTCGAGTGAGATTGATGCTTTCACACCAATGAAAACAAACTGAACTGAGTTTCTGGTTTGAATGGAACATTTGGTGCACTGCTGTGGTGTGAAAGAACCCTCAGACAAGTTCTGCCTATAAGCCTATAAAGTGTGTAAGCCATTATGAATGTCATTCATGAAAAGCAGACCTCTGTATTTTTCTTAAACTTTGCTATTTTCAATTAAAGCACTGCCATAATAACTGCACCTTAATTAGTCTCAAGTATTTGTTCATGCTTTATTAAGGCTGATTAAGGTGTAGTTATTATAGTGGTATCTTACTAACCAACATTACTTTTATTTGAGATGTACAGGAGTCCGTGTTGTTGGTCGTACCTTGAAGATCTGCTGCGCGCCCTCCTCCATGCGCGGCCACACCTGGTATCTGAACCTCCACAGAGTGTAGAACTTGAGGATGGAGTTGATGCGCTGACAGGCCTCCTGGTGCTGGAACTCTGCCATCATCATCTCTGAGACAGCATCAGGGACCTTCACCGCACACAGCAGGAACATGGCCGCTGGAAGGAAAGAAGATAACAAAAGGATTAGGACGTGAAAGGGTAAAGATTAGTCTATGACAGATTCTAGATTTCACTGACCAGCTGCGTCGGTGTTCAGATTTATAACTGCAAAAAGCTTCTTTGATTTGAAGTTTTGATATCATGTACTTCTACTAATATGTGCTACATTTAAACCTGTCAGAATTACAAACTACCCTCATTTTTACCATTTATAATTTTTACTCCTTATTATTATATTATATTGTGATGTGTGAGCTGCTGTGTCCAAATAACTTCCCTTGTGGATCAATAAAGTTTGTTTAAAGGTTGTATGGAGGATTTTTTTTTTGTTTCAAATTGTCAATAAAAGTTTAAAATAACATTACAGAGACGCAGCAGCCTTGTAATTATGATGACCAAAAAAAAAAAAAATGAAAATCTATCAACTGTGAACGTAGTGAGGCTAGATAAACATCAGCCAATAGAAAACCAGGCTCCCTCATTTTCTATTGGCAGTTAGGTTGTCAATCAAACTCCCTACGTTTCTAGTGTAACTGACTCGCAGCGCACGAGTCAATTATGTAGAGGTTCTTTGAGAATTTTTCAAACTGTAGCTTCCTCACAGTTCGCACAAAGTTTGTCGCGATGTCGGACGAGAATCCACGACCGGTTCGCCACGAAAGAAAGTCCGTTTTTGAGGTCGCTGAAAGAAAAAAGAGCAGGGGAAAAGGAGCAAAGCCAAACTGAGGTGAGTCTTGGAGATTTCTTCCAGCGATGGTGCGATTGAAGGAGGTGAAGGGTCTAAAAACTGACGCGTCGGTCGATAAATTATTTCTAGACAGGTCACTTCAACAGTAATTGTGAAGGTGCACTGGTTGTAAACAAGTGTGTTTGTAGGAGGGAGGTGGTGTCACACATGCACAACATTTGAAAAAGGACTGTCGCTGTATTTCTCTTTCCTTCAAAAATCCTCTATACAACCTTTAAGTCAAAGTCTAAGAAGTCCCCCAAGCACTCAGTGTTATCTAGAACAGTCTGTGCAGATTTATTCGCCGCTGTTCATTCAGAACTCACTACAGTATGATGTACCACTGTCCTGCTCACTCTGTTCTCCCAACATCAACTTCACTGGTTATTATTTAAATCTTTAAATGCATTAATCTCAGTTCTCCTGAATCTCTCAAACAGTATTTAATTCCACTCAGATCCTCTTACAGTTTACACCAGACATTTTTTATTGTCCCAAGAATCAAAAAACAAATAAGGAAACGCTTATTTAAATGTAAAGCTCCATTTGACTGGCACAATTTTTCCTCATCGAGTCGCTCATTAACTCCTGTCCCTTCATTTAAAAATGCTCTGGTTCGATATTTACAGAACCCCTGAAATTGTTTGTTGAATTTTGTTGTTCATCTTGTATATTTTGTGTATATTTGAAGTCTGTCTTAGTTTTTCTTAAAATTTGACTTCTTCTGTGTCTAACAGTCATGTGTGAGTGTGTGTGGTTGTGTTGAGTTTGTTGTTTTGTTTTTTCTCTGTTTATTTGAATTCATGTAGCCTCCTGTCCCCTCTACTGTATCTGTATTGTGTTGTTGTGACTATGAGGACCCCCTCAAAAACAAGATGGTGGGGCATCTCAAGGGGCTTATCCTCCAAACAAATACATTTAAATCTAAGAATCTTCTGGCAAAATCAGAACATGATCTTCTACCAAGGTGATCCTTATACGTCCATATAGGCTTGTGAAATCCTGTGTAAAATCCTTATCTTAGGCTGTTTCCACACTGATGCTAGTTAAGTAAAAGTAAAAAAGCTGTTGATCCAAGAGCAGAGCGTTTGGGCAAGTGTGAACATGACAGCTGCATTAGAGGTGGTCTCAGGACAGCTCCTTTCTCACTCTGGAGCGGAGTGATGTTAGTGTGAAAACAGACGATCTCAGGCTGACCTACTTTATTACTTTCACCACAGATGGCACATTGAAAGGAAAAATGATTAGAATTAGATCAAAACATTGCTTGGAGAGCTGGTCGTCTGACAAAATAATATGGATCAACACTTCTCCTGCTTTTCTGCACAGGTGAGTCTTGGTCTGTCTGTATGTGCTTTTTCTCCGCTCCACCAGGGGGCATCGTCTTCACAGAGTATTTACCAATAGGTGATTTTAAAAACCACAGTGAATAGCACCAGGAAAGCAAGTGTGGGGCTGCTCTACAGAGTAACATGTAAAAAACAAAAAAAAAAAAAACAAAATCTGGAATAGAATTTAAGACTTTTTGGGACGAACTCTAAGATCAAAACCAAGCCTTCCCCAGCCCTAAATCTGATATTTGACACAGTATTTGTATGACTGACCAGCGGCGGCGGCCATGTGCTCGTCCACGCTGAGCAGCAGTTCCCAGGCGGCGGGCTGGATGTCTCCGTACATGTCGTCGGTGAGGATGGGCGCGGCCTTGATGAGCAGGGAGAGGGGCGCGGGGGACAGGGACATCACCTGGTTCCGGATGTACTTGAGCATGCCCGTGTCCTTCTTCCCCTCCGTGCTGGGGTCTGTGGGGCGGCGCTTCATGGAGGGGGTCCTGAGGCACGACTTGTCCGAACACTACACACAAATATACATTATTATTATTATTATTGTGAGCACCAAACTATTCTGCTTAAAGGGCACATACTACACTTCCTCATCGCGAACATACTCAGAGTTGTGTTTTGTTTCATTCACACGTTTAACATAAACCCTGCGTATTAAGGCTGAGTTCTTCTCTCAAACAGAAAACAATACAGGAAGTGCTCCACTGTTTAAAGTAAATTATTATTAATAAACTAAAATATAATATTTTATTCTATTTTTCTTCAAAGGTTATTTTAGATGTATTGCCTTGACTGTTGTAATAAGAAACATTTGGTTTTCATTACGGCAGTACAATGTGATGCCACAAGGTACTTGAAACTGCAGTGGCCATTGGAGCTGTTTTTAGCTAGAAAATTTTTTTACATTGTTGACAAAATTAAAATAGCCCCCCAAAAAAATGACAAGAAACTGTTGACAATGCTATTTAAATAAACAAATAAAGTTAATTTTGTGCTGGATGAGTTTAAAACATGAACTTTGAGCAGAATCCCATGAAACATAAATCGCAATTTGATGTTTTACAAAATCAGCAGCCCTGTTTTTAAGCCTCCACATTATGTGTTACCTCTTTGGTCTTCTTGACGCGCCCGCTTATATGCCCAGTTGGCGCGGCGCTGTCCTCTCTCAGGCTGTCCACAGACTCCCCGTACACCAGCTTGATGGCCCGGACCAGACGGGCACAGGAGCGGCTGTGGTGCTGGTAGCAACGCGGGTGGCAGAAGTCTATGTGTGTGCAGATGAAGCTCTGCTGGTTACACAGCAGGATCATGATCTGAGGAGACACGGGACAGAGATTTAGATTAAAGAAACACACACACATATGGTCAGCAGATCTGCCTCACAGCGAGGAGGTCTCAAGTTCAATTCTGTGGAGAGTTAACAGTAATAACAATGTGCTCAATATAGTGCTTTCAATCACATTACAATCACATTTGGTATAGTGTGATGGGGTGAGGAGAACATGCAGACACCATATGGAAACACACCGCCTGCTCCAGGAACAAAAACCCACAAATAAACTGTCTTATGTGAATATATAGTGGAACTGTTCGACTTACGTGCAGCCAGGACATGTTCCGATGGTAGTTATCCTCTGCTCCTCCTGAACTTTGACCTTCTGGCTCAATGCTGGGTTCACTGGCACTAAATGGACTCCCTACAAAAACAATAATAATATTTATAATATTTTGTTTAGTGGCTCTAGTTAGAATAGCTGAAGTGTAGTGTACCTATATCAGTGACAGTGTCCCTGCTCTGTGTCTGGGACAGGAGCCCCTCCTCGTTCTCCGACTCAGAGTCCTGTCTGGACATCTTGGTGCTCTTCAGACTTCCAGCTCTGCGGATGGAAGACAGAGATCCTCCTTTCTTCACACGGAAACTACGAGCTCCTTTGATCTGGAGCAAGCGGGAACCTCCGATACGGATTTTACGAACAGGGGCTGAAAAACAGAATAGGTGCAAAATGTAAATATACTGAAAATCTTATAAAAATACTGCATACTGAATGAATGTATGCATTTATCTGATATCATAATATTCTTAATAGTTTAAAGGTTAAGTGAAGGTCAGGATTCCATGGTAGAATTTACTATTACAAGTTGATGTCAAAATGCAGATTTGTTGACTTGGTTTATGATTAATATCTCTGTAATTACCGGGCACAAAGCTAAATGTCTTCTCTATATGTACAAATGAACTTAAGTAGTGTATTTCATCACTACAGATAGGCATACCAGGATGGATAGCTGGTAGTAAATATAACAATTCTCTTACTTATTTCTGTGTCCTGAGATGTATATTCGAGATATGGACAATTCAATTCATCTTTACTCATGTTCCATTTAAAACAGAGGACAGTGACAATATAAACAATATAAAACAATAAGTATTTGTTTTTAAAAGACAGCCACACCAGTGTCTCCACATATTGGACTGACATCTTATTGCACCGAATCTCATATTTGTGAGTGACATTATTATTTCATTTTTAGTAGAGCTTGCAGAGTGTTCAACATCTCTGTTCCACTCGTCCATCATGGCCTCCTCAAAAACACCCGTAAAGCGTCATTATAGGCACATGCAGTCTTTGCAAACTGGCTTTTTTGTAATTAACCCAGAGGTGAGCTGTGTACAACGGTGTACAATATGATTTAAACCATCTGTTTCTGTGCTTTGTCTTCATTTTTGTGAGCGCAGAAAATGTCAGAACCTACATGCAGACCTACAAACAAATCGTGACAAGGCCCCAAAAAAATCTCTTGTGACCCACCTGACGGTCGCGACCCAGTCTTTGGGAAACAATTATCTAAACAATAACAACTTTACATTATTTGTACAAGAGTCAAACTTAAGCGAAAGATCATCATCATCTTCCATGTCTGCAGTAATGATATGCCCAAGATATTTCATTTTTGTTGTAACAATTAAAACAACATTTGACAGGCAAAAGTCAGAATATCCCATGTGCTTATCTTCTTTGGTCCTACAGATCATGACCATACTCTTGGTTGCATTATACTTTATATCTAGAAAATAACCATTTTTAAATCAAAGTTTTCTTTTCTTTACCTGGAATATCTCAATACAAACAAGGAGGCAAAATGATCAGGCCAAGTTACAGGACAGATCTATGGAGAAGCAACTCCAGTCACAGCAAAAAAAAAAAAACGTATTGTGGAACTTAGATAAGCAGTAACATATTCTGACATCATCCAATTTCTCACCTTGCACCTCCTGGACCTTCTTGTCTTCACAGGTGGTGTCAGACTTGAGCGTGTGGCTGCTGCTGTTCAGTGAGTCGTGTCCGTCCTCGTCGTCCAGGATCCCCGCGAAGCTGATCTTCCTCTCGTAGCGATGGCGCCCGAGCTCCGGGTCCAAGCGCAGACGACAGCTGTCCAGATCCTTTGGGACAAACACAAACAGAGGCGTGTGTGGTCGCTGGGTGTGTGTGAGAAGTTGTGCTTGTTTTTAAGTGAAATAAGTACTGACCACAAGAGGCTCTGTGCGTGGACGAGGTAAACACGGAAAGGTCTCTCTCAGGAAGGTGGTGATTTCCAAGAGGAGCTGACAGGCGGCCATTTTGAGAGCGAAGGGGCATCCGCATTTGGTTGGGTTCACTGTGTCTTTGAGAAAAATTGTAATATTATCACTTACTATGTTTGGGCTGTTTTGTAAAATTGTAAAGTTTTTTAAAGCGCCTAATGCTGGATTAGATTTATATCACTTTCTTGACAGACTTTTTTCTCAAGTAGAGATACACTAGGACCAACACATAGATACACAACCTACACACATTACCAGACTATATGTAAATAATTTAGACGTGCCGGTTTTCTGACACTTTTTAGTATCGCTATTTCGACACGTGATATGTGTTTTTTGGGCTGTGAGAGTGTCATCTCATTGAACTAGCACAATGAACTTGATTGGTTATTTATTTAGGCTGTATGGTGTCTTGTATGGTGGTGATCTTGTCTGCAGATCACCCACATGACCAAATAAGTGAAGCACAAAGGGCCCATGCAGTCTCTGTTTTAGATGAGATATTTTCCCAAAGGCTGGCCTGTGCTCACATTAATATTATATTCATAAAAAAATGAAATGTTTGAAAAACAGTAAAAAGCCGCTACTCTGACAATGAAAAAATAAAGTTGAAGTAGTGGGACGCTTAAAAAATAATGTACTAATAATGCCGCTACTCCGACAATTAGAAGTCAGTGTCTAAATAGCGGCATGTTGGAATAGCAACGTGTAACCGTACAAAATAATCTTCTTATAACATTCAAAAACTTAAGTTTCCATGTTCTTGTTCTTCTTCATCTATGTGTTCTTATAGAAAAAAAATGTTTGAGGAGCTATAACAGATTGGTTTATGTAAGAGTAAGTCAGATTTTGCCCCAATACAGATATATACTGTATTTTTCGGTCTATAAGGTGCACCAGATTATAAGGGCCATTAAGCGAAACAAACAAACTACACTTGAGACTTGATCCTTAGTCCAGGCGTCCATGATCCATTTGCACATCGTGGTGTAATTGGCCCGGCGTTGCCTCCCTGTCTTGGTGAAAGTGTATTATGAATGTGAATGTGGTTGGATCATTTTCAGTTTGTTTTTTATTTCCTACGAGGACGACTCAAATATACATTGAGTAATAGTAAGTTCAATGCATCTTTGTGCACATTTGTTTACGATTTACAGGAACAAAACTTAAAACCACATGACTCATTTGCATAAACTATAAGAGCTGAAAAAAACTCGCTCCTTGTGCGCTGATGTGGTTCAGCTTCTGTCAGACTTACTCCACGAGGCTCCTGACTACAGTAGCCGTAATCCTCCAACAATCCAAGCTGTGTGGCTTTGTAGTTTACCAAAGTCGTACTAAAACATTTTGACAGATTTTTTTTGAGGGCCATGTATCACATAAAATTGGTTCAGCACATCCAGAATTAATACATAAGGCAAATTATAAGACGCCTATAGCCCAAAAAATATGGTAATATATAGTAAAATGAGACACTTGTGTGCGATGTTAGCATTCTAGTTGTTTTTAGCATCTCCGTGATGACAAAACTCTGCTCCTTGGTGAATAAATAGGATGCTAGGACTGTTAGGAAAGTGAGGAATAACTCTGGACCATTGCAAACCATTTAAAATGAAAGAAGTTTTTCATATTAAAAACACCTTAAAAAGGATGAAGAGTTAAGTTCAAATGTGCAGACAGAAGGTTCATGCATGAGGCCTGTTGTACTTGTAGAAATGTATTACTTTGTACTTGTGCTTTGATTGTATTATTTTGAAGTATTATTACTCACTGTCATCTAAATAGTCCTCTTCTTCATCCTCTTTCCTCATCCTCCTCTTGGTCTCTTCGTCGTAAATATAACCCAGGATATTCGCTGGACTCTCGCTGTCAGAATGGCACAGCTCACTAAGCCTCGTACCGATCGCCTTTACACACAAAATCAAATTCAATCTACATTTTCACATTTGATTTATTTTTCTGAATGACTTACATCCCCCCAGTGACAGAAGTGCTTGGCTGCGTTCCACTGCAGTTTCTGGTTCCTCTTGTTGCCCACTATGGGAGAGCGCCCCCTGGACAGACCTTTTTTGGTGATGTTGACGTGGTGCCCCTTCATCCACTCGGGCCAGTTGCCACGGTTACAGCGGTGGACGAATCTGGCACATTCGAGGAAGAGAGACGCACGAGCCACGATCGGAGCTTCCTGCAGAATATAATTTCACTCATGTTAAATATTTTATAACACGAGATCATAAATTCACCCTTCATTGTAGTAAATCTTAAATGTATTATTAATCAGTTTGGTCATAATATAGATGATTTAAAGACGTTCAACCATTGCTGAATTATTTGTTATGACAACTAGGAGTGTGCAAACATATAGAAATATTGTTTCATTTTATATAAATATCATGGGCTGCTGTATCGCTATATTCCTAAGAGTATCTTTTTGGTATATTTTGCTAAATTATTTTGTGAAAGAGCTACAATTGTGTTGATTGTTTGGGGAAAGGAAAGTTGTTTATGCAATACAATACATATTCACTTTTCACTTTTGATGTAAAATGGGTGTTTTTCATATTAACTTTGCAGAAACTCGGTTTAACAAAAACTTTTAGTATCACAGTCATGATTTAGCCTTTGTTTTTTACTGAATGACATTGAATTGATTTGAAATATATTGTATCAAGTCATACTGAATTGAAAGCGTACTGTATCAAAAATTGGATTGTATTGTGGCCCATGTATCAAAGTATGTATCCTATCGGCATCTTCTCAAAGATGCCAGCCCTAATGACAACACTTTAACTAATTTAACTTGAAACAATTTCATGGGTTTTAACCTGATTTGACAGATTTGGCACAGCAGCGATCCTCTGGTATAGATAACACAATTAAAATCAAATACACATTATAAATATGTGTCTCAAATAAATATGTGTAAATTCGTGTCTCGAAAATACAATAACCCTAATACTAACAATGATAACTGCACACTCCCCTGTAAGACTAGAACAAATTGTGTAATAAATGCCAATGTAAGGTAGTAGTTCTGTTAGGCATGGTACAATATTAAAATTTGGTGTGACAATTATCATTATATCAGAATAATTGCGATTAACAATTATATCACAATAATTATGAAAGTTGATCAGTTGTTGTTGATATGTTGGTAAATTGTTGTTGTATGCATATAATTATACTTTTAATATGATGAATAAGTTTGATATTTAAACAACTGTTATCGAATTCTACTTTGTTATTAGTGAAAACAACAAAGATCAAGAAGAAAACATCAAGGATAAGTAGCTTTTTTCAGCACATAAATAAAAATGGTGATTATCTTTGTCGGTGATTATCAAGATTAAAGAAAATGTCCCACAAATGATTACTGTCTAACAGGAGTGAGCAAAAATATTGATATATCATATTGTTTAATGTAATGTTACAGTATTGATATCGGGGGCTGCTGTATCGATGTCGCCAAGAGTATTTTTGGGTATATTTTACAAAATTACTTTGTTACAGCTACAGTTTTGTTGCTTGTTTAATGAAAGGAAACTCGTTTATGTGACACATTTGTTGTGATGATTAAAATGTTTGTGTTTCATATGAACTTTGCACACGAAGTGGATTAACAAAGACTTTCAGTATCACAGCCATGATTTAGACTTTATTTTTTATTGAATTGTATCAAATAGATTTGAAATATATTGTATCGAATCATAAGCTCACTGTATCGAGATATGTATCGTATCGTGGCCTATGTATCAAGGTATATATCGTATCGGCATCTTCTTAATGATCCCCAGCCCTATTGTCTAACCTTTTTATTACAATAAATGATATTATTGTTTATTGTCCATCCCTGAGTGTCGTACCAAGTCCAGAGCAGCAGCCAGTATGGAAGCATCAGGTATCGTCCCAGGTTCACAGCAGTTTAGGAGGAACTGGAATCTCTTCATGCCCTGTCTGATGGCCCCCAGGTTCACCACGTTCTTGTTCTTCATGGCCTCCTGACTGGCAGCTAGTCTCTCCTGGAAGCCATGAGGTCCTAGAGAGAAGGAGGGAGGAGAACAGACAGAGGAAAGAAAGAAAGGTAACAAAGAGATAGTTTTATGAACACGTCAGTTGAGAAAAATGATTTGTGTAATTTGTTCAAAATGCTGGAGTTTACGTACAGAGTTACAACAGTAGAGAGCCACTGACAAATGAAGCGAACATGAACAAAAGTCTACTAGCGGAGATTACACTCGCATTTTCAATCTAATAAAAGGATCATATGCAGTACTGGGCAAAACTGAAAACTGAAGGATTTTAATCATTTTTGTTTTGTTGTTTTATTAGGTGTACAGACTTTTCTGGTATAGGGTCTGCCACCTGCTTGCCTTAACAGAGATCAAATTGCCTTACCTGGAATGTTCCACAGTATGGCATTAAACCTAGCCTGCCTATCTTGCCTTTTGCTTCAAAATATGTGGTGTTGTCAACAGCCTTTTTCCACAGGGATGGATAAGTTAAAGATCTACTGTGGAACATTCCAGCCAACACAACAATCACTGTTTTTTTTACACAAGTAGGTGGCGACCCTCCTCCAGAGAGCATCTTTAAATCTCTAAAGCAGACATGTCAAACTCAGGCCTTGGGGCCAAATTTGGCCTGAGATATACTTATATTTGGCCCACGAGATCATATCAAATATGTATTAGAGCTGCCCACCAGCTACAGAAAGACTATAGAAACATTATTTATTTAAAATTATGTTATCATTTTAAATTTAGCTTGTTCTGTATTCAATGTTTAAGCAAAACTATTATTAAACATTTATTTTAAAAGAAAAAAAGTATAACATTACTTATCTCAAAAGAAGAGAAAACATGGAGATGTTGCTGAAATTTTTCAATAAATATTTAGTTTTGTCCACAACTTATTCCAGTTTTTAATTTCGGCCTCTGTGAATTTGAGTTTGACACTCCTGCTTTAAAGCATCTGTACACAGCATTAATGCGTTTCAGACAAACAATTCCTTCCTAATTTGAAGGATTTTTTGAGGACCTTTCCACATTCAGAAGATATAATATTTAGATTTGAATTGCTTACTCGCTATGAAGACAGAGGATGGCTGCCATAGCTTGTAATTGTGTATGCATAATATATGCATGTATTATCATGCATATATTATTATGCATTAGTCAGAATCTACTGAAAATTATGCAGCAAAGGGTCCAAGGACACCAGCTGGCACACTGTGGAGTGAAGCAGTGAAAACCAAGCTCCAGGAGAGAAAAAATCTGCAAAGGTTTTTGGACTTAGCACTTCTGTCTAAATATGCACAATTACTCAACATGCATGTTGTTCAAGAGGAAATTATAATAATAAAAAAGTGTTTATGAGAGTACAGAGCCCTTTAGGTTGGTACAGTGCCTTAGCAGAGGTCTACACGATCTAAAGTAGTTTTTGATTGACTGTCAGATTTAGTGTAAAACTCATTGCTTTTCACCCAGTACTGTAGATGCTCTAGAAAATTCTCTTTCAAATCGCTCTGACAAAAATGTCGAGTGTAATGATGGCTGCACAGAAGAAAGCTGAATTACACATCTGGTCATTTGAACCCCAGGAGGTCAGTGGAGGTCACCCAGAGGTCACATAGAGGTCAGTGGAGGTCACTCGTCCCCTGACCCCAGCACAGATAGACACTGAGGCATGCTGCACACACAGTAGTACAGTACCACCACCACCAAAACGCTTCACAGCAGAAAGATGGTCTCGAGATGGACTGGGAACGTGCACGGCCTAATACAGGGCAGTAAGAACACAGGATTTTCAACTCATCGTAGTATCACAGTTTAGCATTCAGTGGATGAAGGTGTTGAAATAAGGTTTTGTGGGCTTAATAAGATAATAAACAGGTATCAAAACTACAAGGAAAATAAAGAAAGAGAATGATTTTGTTCCTGAATAGTAAAACTGGTATATGATTATATATTAAAGGTAGAGAAGGTTTCAGAGGTAGAAATCTGGACACTGTTTTTGCTATATTGAAGGTACTGGTCTGAGGCTATGTTCAGATTGCAGGACTTAATGCTCAGTTCGGATTTTTGGTGAAATAAGATTTTTTTGCGAGGTTGTTAACATTTCCAGTTAAATGTGACTTGTGTGTGATCTCCAGTGTGAACTTTAAATGCGCCAAAAGTGTCCCGCATGTGCACTGGAGGACACGACGACGGCACACACTGCGAGTGTGTTCAGTGTTTTCGGAAGTCGCCTAAACATGGACGCTGCATTGAACATCTGGAGATTTTAAAGTTGCTGTCGTACCAGAGCCAGAACATGTACAGATTATTTGTTTTAAGAATGAGATGGAGAAGGACGAGTTTTTTGGCCATGGCGTTTTGTGGGGCAGTGGCAGCAACGTGCGTAGAAAGGAACTTGTGGGTGCAGAGTCGCAGCCAAGAGTGGTGGGATTGAGATGTGATTTGCCTGAAAATTCTATTGCATTGTTGTCCGCCATGGTTGTGGCTTTCTTCCATTTTTCATCTACTTCAGCGCAGAATATTGACATTTGTCGCTTGTTGATGACGTGTATGTAGGATGAATGTGACCTGGCCATTCAGACTGAAGTCACAAGTCAAAAGATCAGATATGTATCGGTTTTAGGAGCACATATCCAAGTGGCCTGGGTCACATTTGAAAAAATTGGATCAGTGTCATTCAAGTATCTCTGGGTGTTTCTCTCGAGTGAGAGGAGGACAGAGCGTGAGACTGACAGGCACATTGGTGCAGCGTCTGCAGTGATGCGGTCGCTGTATCAAACCGTTGTGGTGAAGAGGGAGCTGAGTCGAAAGGCAAATCTCTTGATTTACCGTCATTACCTACGGTCATGAGCTTTGGAGGGATCTGTGTGGTTCAAACTGTCATTAAAAGATCAGATACAGGTTGCATAAGGGTAAAAAAATCACTTCAGAAGTCACTTCAGGCTGAGACACCAGGATTTATACTACAACAAGCTACAAAAGTCCTGCCTGCAGTTTTAGAGTAACACTGCCCTGCCCTTGTGCATGAGCTAACATCATTATGGGTTGTCATACCACTATTCTTTCAAGCCTGGAGGAAGTTACTGTATGTGCCACAGATAAACGCCTGTAATTGATGGTAGTACATCAATGTTTTTATACATTAGACATCTCGACTGTCACCCAGGAGCCTAGTTTTGCACCATTCTAACTAAATTAGGAACAATTCCTCTCTTAAGGAAAGACTCAGGGCAGTATAAACTCAGGCACCTCAGACCAGTTTCCTTCAGACTGAAAATGATTTCCAGACAGCAGTTGAAATGTCTCACATTTAAAAACAGTGCCGACTGTCTTTGAAACCTTTTGCTGCCTTAGACCACTCCTGGACAAATAAGCTATGAGACTACACTGTGATTCACTTGAAACCAAACAAAAAGGTTCCTGACTATTCAGAGTTTGAAAAGAACATAGGAGGGGGTGGCTGAAAATGAATCAAATAGATAATAGACAGAACTTCACTATAGGACTACCTCAAAGTACATGATAGTATCTAGAGTCTAGTATAAAGCCTTTTCCTCAGAACTGAAATATGTGTTGTAGATATCGATGTGTTGAAAATGAGTAAGAGTGGACAGAGAGAAGAGTCAGACTGGAGCCGAAGGAGCCACAGGAGCAGAGCACAGATCACTGCACACACGGGGACGATGGGTGGGAGGGGCATGGAGGGAGGGCCGGGTCTACCATCTTTCTCCTCTGTGTGGTGAAGCTTGGATGGATTCCTCCTGCCAGAACGCCATTTACCCAGGCGCTTGAAGAAATTCTCCTCCTCCTCGCGGCCGTAGTCTGGGCCCGCAGCGCCCCCTTCAGTCAGCTTCACCGCACTAGTGAACTTCACCTGAGGGACAGAAGGAGCATAAGGAAGATCAGTTGTTTCATGAAATTTTGAATGCTGCTTTTTATTTTTCAATTCAACATTATTTTCTTTCTCTTTTTAAAGCTGCCATCTGTAATTAAATGGCTCAGCCCTGTTGTATTCTCACCTATCTCCACTAAATGTATCTATATATAATATCTATAATACTGCAGTCCGTCAGTGTGCCAGTGTAGGTCAGACTGAAGAAGACAAGAGAGCACAGGTGAGCCTGAGCACAAGCACAGGTGAGGGGAGGGAGGAGGAGCTATTACTATCGGTTATTACTGCTATTATTAGTGGTAATAACTAGACTGATATAGTTATTATCGGAACTGAAGAAGCAGCTTGGGTGAGCTGCGAAACTTATTTGACCAAAATAAGACCTTTGTCCAGTTGACAAATTGAAATTCTCTTTTGCCATAAATTCTACCTGGACGACTGAGGAATTTAACATATTACCGCAGGAATAACTTCATCCGGGGAGCCACAAACAGACTTCACATTTGATATTTACTGATCGAAAAATAAATAAATGTACAGATGGTATACATTTTTAATGTGTTTAAGAATTAAAAATAACAAATTTGCCTTTTAAATATTCAGCACAAATATTTCAAGACCCTTCAATAGTCAAATTCAATAGTGAAAACTTTGCAGCAAAGATCCAAGATGTCAAGGCATTACGCAATCAATTTAGTGAGGACAGAGGAGGCTGTTTCCTATTGACCATTCTCTTCTGCAGGGTTTATAGTTAAGCAATCAAAGAGATGAGGTTTTGATTAGTCCCATTCTGACCAATCAGATTGGTTCCCTCATAATAATAATAATAATGCATCAGTTTTATACAGCGCTTTTCTGGACACTCAAAGATGCTTTACAGATCATTATTCATTCACTCCACACTCATTGGTAGTGAGCTACTATTGTAGCCACAGCTGCCCTGGGCAGACTGACGGAAGAGGGGTTGCCAATCTGCACCATCAGCCCCTCCAACCACCAACAACATTCACTTTCATACTCGGCAATGTGGGAGAAGTGCCTTGCCAAAGCAAACAATGTCAGTTGTGTGACTGGTGCCCCCTACATCATTTCCTGGTTGTTACAATAGATCGACTCACTTAGGGTCAATTGCTTATGCATCTTGACACCAAATGTCAAAACACAAAAGAACATGGCTCTTGTGCACGTTACGTTCACATCACATCATGTGTATTGGAGATTCATGTCTTATATAATCTATGTTTAGTGTGTAACCTTTGAACTCTGGCGTATGAAGGAGAGGCGGTCCACCGAGCTGATGTCCAGCAGGTCCTCCACTCCATCGGTCAGCCCCGAGAGCGAGGAGCGCTTCAGCCAGTTACCTGAGGAAATGTGTAAGCGATTAGAACACACTCCAGTACACTATGTCCAGGACACACATGCAGAGTAAAGCATCTCACTGGGACATTAGGCCAACCACATGGAAGAAAGACAAGATTTATAAATGCAGCGCAGACAGACACATGGTTAGCAGCAGCAGAGTTTGCGGAGGTGCCAGGCGTGGACAGTGTTAGTGGACGACATTAAAGGGGATAATCCATTGAAACATGACACAGAGGACACAGATGTGATATGGTCCATACGTATGACAGAGAATGTGAGTGGGAGGCGGGCGGTTCCACGGTACGCTGGAGGAGGACAGAGCACACCAACAGGTTTGAAAACAAGTGGAGATTTGTGTGAAGAAACTGTCAAAGACACAATGAACAATGCTGGTCTTAATAAACCAGTGAGCTAATTGTCACAAAACATGTATTTATTTGTCTGTTGGTTGGTTCTGAAGCTCTTGATAAAAAACAATAATTAATTAATTTATTATTTATTTATTTATAACATGTGTATTTTTGGCTCTTTTTGTTTTTTGTTCATAGGTAGTGGTTCATAGGGATTCATGGCTTGTGTACATTTTCCATCTGTAAACCTCTATCTCTAGATGTGAAAATAAACAAGTGAGTAGTTTAATTAAGTAAGCAGGTAGATGTTTAATCTGTCAATCAGCTAGGTCAATCAGGTAGGTTCCATTGCAAAAGAAGATGTAATTCTGTCACATGGACAGATTTTTTTAAAGTGAATATGTTTTCCACTCATCCAAGCAGCTTCTTCAGTTCTGACAGGGTCCTTTTACTGTCTTAAATATCTGTATGAAGGAAGAGGCTAACTACACTGAGACTAACACCCTAGTTACAGTAAGGAGTGTGTTATTAGTTAAAGCAACTGTACACAACATTTTGAATTAAAATTCCATAAATGTGACTTATCTGTGCCCCCAGATGTGAGGTAAACATGGTCAGATCAAATCTAGCTTTTGGTGATAACAATTCTAATGCTCATTATTCTTATTAAAAGAAAACAGTGGACATTATGTCCCATTTATGGTTTGGTTCTCAAGATGATTATCCGCAAGGGCATAGGTTTGGTCTCAGCTTTGGTGGGGACATTATCAGCCACCCCCCCAACCCATGAAACCAGCTGATAGTTCACTTGATTAACAGATTAATTATATCATATTTTTTACTTTTCATATGATGCACACTGCAAAAACTAAACAGCACATCTTTATAAGAAAGTCGCTCTTTTTCCGTGGCGACTCAGTTTAGGCTCCTGGCACCACTAATGACATCACTCTGTTGCAGCCGGTGAAATAGCAGCAGGTGTAACCCTGTCATATCACTGAATACACCTCAGACCGTTTAATAAACAAAATGTGAACTAAAATGTGTTAAATTAATACTACTGGGTTTGGAAAAATATTGGAATAAATGTATATTTTTGTTTATTAAAATAAAATGTCAAATATTGGTAGGGACTATTTTGTCTTCCACAAATATTGTTTGTGACATGTCCCCACCGTCCCTATGTAAACCTACACTCTTGATTATCCAATCAGAAAGTAGAAGTTTCTCATTTGAGTTGCCTGTTTCAATGCTGAAATCCACTTTAAACCTAAAAGTCACGAATCAGTGCTAGTGCAGCCTCTGAGTGAGTGAAATCTGGAGGTTCTGAGCTTTCACATCATCCATCTGCAAGTTAAGGCACTGACAACCCATGTTCAGTTGTGATTGTAGTACTTTCTCTAAAGCTGTAAGAGCTCAGGTTCCAGTTCCTTTAACTTCATAGAACTACTCTGCTACACAGGTCATACTTCACACCTTAGGCCAGTTCAATGCACCTCCCCACTCTAAACAACTAGGGTGTGTTAGTTTCAGTGTATTTAGCTCCTCCTTTCAGACAAATATAAGACAATGATGTACCTGAAATGAAGAAGATATTTGAATTGCCTAAATATATTCACTCTTAAAAATAAGTTTGTCCAGTTCACAGAATTCCATTTTCTTTTGGAATAAGTAAGTAAATAATTAGTAAATAAATAAGTAAATAAGAAAGTATATATCATTATCATAAAAAAATGGATACAGATATGTGTACTGTGTTATTGCTTGTTGCTAGGTTACCAATGGGCAGTTTGAGTTTCTTGCGCAGAGAGATCCTCCTGGAGCGTGACCTGGACCGGCGCTCCGTGGTGTTGCCGGAGTGGGCCGTGGTGCACTCTGAAGTGTCCTGCTCCGATTGGCTGCTCGTGTCGCTGGCGGCGCTCTGGGACTTGAACATCTTCCTCCAAAAGTCCTTCCTGCCCAAGAGAGCACCGGGAATCTGCTCCTCACTACAGGAAATGAATTACATGTAAAGTGCTTTTCATCGTACAGTCGAGTGGGACCAAACACTTTTTACTACTCAACTCTTAGTATGTACATGGTGTTTTAATATCCTTGTATCAATAGTAATTTCAGGTATTACGTGACTTTATTATGTGATTATAATGTTGTTATCTCCTCAAAAACACATGTGGAGTTTAGTTTTGTTTCATTCACACTCTTTATTATAAGTCTGTTTACATATACAAAGCTGAACATGCTCTGTCCACCTTGTGATGTCATTTAGTGGTAGTTTTAAGGTTAACAGCTATTTTAACCTCACTTGAACTGCTTTACTCTACAATACACTAGAACAATGGTCTCCAACCTGCAGCCCGGGAGGTACATTTAGCTCTCCACCCCCTTCCAAGTAGCTCACCAAAGGATTTCTGAATTATAAGTATTGTGTTGAATAAGTACAATTTGATTGATTAAATGACTATTACCATTGTAAATTAGGGGTGTAACAATAACCAAAATATTGTGATATAATATCATCAAAAGACTCACAATAATATCGTGGACCATCACAATATATCAAATTACAAGTGTCTTTGCTTAAATTCATAGTTATGGTGCAGCAGTAGCTAAAAAAACAGAGGGAACTACATCAACCATGATCCTTTGCTCCATTTTGGTGCAAACTACATGAAGAAACAGCAGTTTTAAGCATTTTTAAGTCTTAGTTCTTTGGATTAAGTCTTGTCAAGGCATTTTAAGAGGAAAAAGTAGCATATTTACAATTTTGTTATATCGCAATAAATATCGTACCGTGAGATGTATATCTTGAAAATATCGTACCGTGAGATTTGGATATCGTTATATCTCTATTGTAAATGCATAATTTTGATGTCTAACTTTACACACTAATAGTTATAATAGTTATATAGACATCTGACTGTAGTCTATCTAAGATTTGCTGTGACTTTAATATTTACTAATTTTCTTCAATTTCAAAACTATTAGCTCTCTGGCATTTTCATTTAGTAAAAGCAGCTCACCGAAGGAGCTATTTTGCACTAGAATAACCTTAAATTGTTGCCTTTTTAAAACATATTTTTACCTTTTGTTCAGTTCAGTCTACAACAGGGGTGCCCACACTTTTTCTGCATGTGAACTACTTCTAAAACAACCAAGTCAAAATGATCTACCTGCTACAAAGACAAGCAAACTGTACTGAAACACTCTGTGCCCCTATTTTGGACCCTCACCCACAGTTTAAGAGAACTTACACTGGCACTTTACACAAAACTGAAGAAAGTGAAGAAAGTGGGTAGGATTTTTAAACCTGTTTTTTTCAAGTTCCAAACCGGAGTTACATTCTCTTTCTGGCTTTGCAGTGCGATTTAACCTCTGCACATTTACCAAATGCACGTCGTGACAAATGCATACGCAATTGTGCACTTTTATTAGGCAAACTTCAACCACGTGTTGCGGTAGGCCTGTTCTGTGCCGTAGTCCTGCTTTGTGCCAACACTGTAACATAAATTTAGATTAGTTTTTGGTTTGCATTTCATCTTGCTCTTCTAATCAGCGCACACTGTGAAAGGAGCCTGTCTGGACTGTATGTAGGAGGAGCGAGCGTGAAAAGGCGATGAGCGGCGCGCTGACGTGAGGCAGGTGGACAGGATGTTTTCAAAAGTTTAACCTGCTCTGTGATACTGTGATCTACCCACACTACCTTGACGATCGATTGGTAGATCACAATTGACGTATTGGGCACCCCTGTTCTACAATATCCTTTTGTGTTGTGTTGTTTTGTTGTTGTTTTAAGAAGGCTAAAAGAGAATATGTAGCTTCAAAGATTGGCAGGAAATTATTCAAATTCACAAGGTAGATTTTCTGCTTGAGAGAATTCAGCTTAAATCTGCAGGGTTTGTGTGTTAAACATGTGTGAATGAAACAAAACATTGCTCCAGGTCTGTTTGTGATGAGGAAACAACATTATAACATCAAAAATATGCCTAAAATAAGTCCTTTCTGTACTTGTAATTGTGTACATTTTCATCCATGGAGCTGTACTTTTACGTGAGTACAAATTTGCAGTACTCCTTCCACCGCTGTAATCAGAGGATAATCGCAGTACCTCCTGGGCCCGGAGCATTTGCTGTCTTGGTTGTCTTCGGGCTTCTTGGTGGCCGTGACCTTCTCGGCGCTGTCCAGGAGCGCGCTCAGAGCCACCCTCCGGAACACGTTCCCATGGGCCTCCTTTATGAACTGCACCAGCTGACGGATGTCACAGTACAAGCCCTGGAAGAGGAGGAGGAGCAAGAAGAGAAGGAAGAGAGGAGGGAGGAGGAGAGAAGAGGAAAGGAGGGGAAGAGAGGAAAAAGAAGGTAAACCAAGACAGTGGAGGAGAAGGAGGAGGCAGAGAGAGCAGAAGAGACGTGGACCAGGACAGTAGGGGAAAAAGAGGAAGAGGAGAGAGAAAGGAAGGAAGGAGAGAAGGGAGGAGAGGGTTGAGAGGAGGGGGACAAAAGAGGAAGGGGGGAGAGGTCAGGGAAGGTGGACCAAAACAGTGGAGGAGGAGGAGGAGGAGGAGGAAAAAGGAGGAAGAGAAGAGAGGACGGGATCGAAAGGAGAGGGGAGAAAGAGAGAGGAGGAGAGGAGAGAAGAAGATAAGGGGCAGAGGAGGAGGTAGAGAGGAGCAGGGACAGGAGAGAAAGGAGGAGAGGAGGAGAAAAGGTGGACATATTCAAGGAGGAGGTTAAGTAAAGAGGAGGAGAGAGGAGGAAGAGAGAGAGGAGAAGAAGAAGGGAAGAGCAGGAGGTAGAGAGGAGCAGGGACAAGAGAGAAAGAAGGAGGGGATGAGAGGAGGAGAAAAGGCAGACATAATCAAGGAGGAAGAGAAGAAGGAGGAGAGAGGAGGAAAGAGTAGGACGAGAGGATGGGATCAAGAGGAAGGAGTAGAGTGGAGAGGGGAGGAGAGGAGAAGAAGCGGGGGAGAGGAGGAGATAGAGAGGAGCAGAAAGAAGGAGGGGATGAGAGGAGGAGAAAAGGTGGACATAATCAAGGAGGAGGAGAGAGGAGGAAGAGAAGAGAGGATGGGATCAAGAGGAAGGGATAGAGGAGGAGAGGAGAGAAGATGAGGGGGAGAGGAAGCGGTAGAGAGAGGAGGAGGGACAGGAGAGAATGAAGGAGGGGATGAGAGGAGGAGAAAAGGTGGACATAATCAAGGAGGAGTAAAGAGGAGGAAGAGAAGAGAGGACGGGATCAAGAGGAAGGGTTAGAGGAGGAGAGGCGAAAGAGGAAGGTAAGGGGGAGGAGGGAGAGAGGAGGAGGGAGAGGAGAGAATGAAGGAGGGGATGAGAGGAGGAGAAAAGATGGACATCATCAAGACAGAGGAGGAGGAGGAAAGAGGAGAAAAGAGAAGAGAGGAGGGGATCGTGAGGAAGGGGTAGAGAGGAAGGAGGGAGTAGAGAGGAGAGGGGAGAAGAAGATGAGGAGGAAGAGAGTAGCAGGGACAAGAGAGAAAGAGGGAGGGGATGAGAGGAGGAGAAAAGATGGACATCATCAAGGAGGAGGAAAAAGGAGGAGAGAGGAGGACGAGAAGAGAGGATGGGATCAAGAGGAAGGGATAGAGAGGAGAGAGGAGAAAGGGAGAGAAGAAGATGTCGGGGAGAGAAAGAGGTAGAGAGGAGCAGGGAGAGGAGAGAAAGAAGAAGGGAGTGAGAGGAGGAGAAGAGGCAGATGGTACAGAGGAGTGACATAGGAGGAGAGAGGGACGGAGCGAGCAAGAAGAAGAGAAGGAGAAGATAAAATGAGGAGATACAGGGAGAGAAAGAAAGAAAAGGGAGAAAAGATTAAAAGAAAATGTGGATGTGAAGAGGAGATAGGAGATAGGAGATAAAGGAGTAGAGAAGGACAAGAGGAAGGAGCAGAAGAGAAGGACACAGGGAGAAGAGGGAGGGAGAGAGGAGAGGAGAGAGAGGAGAGTGAGTAATCCCTCGCTCCAGCTTGTGTGTGGGTGGCCTCTGGTTCGGGGCCAAACTTAAGCCAGTCCTCCACAGTCTGATCTCCTGCCAATGTTTTGTTTCTGAACTCCTCGGGGCCCCTCTGTATTTCACAACAGGGACCCCAGTACACTTCACATTTACAAATAAGGCTTATATTATACAGATTTTTTAAAATGTATTTATATTTTTTTTATAATGATGTGTTTGTGATTTTGTTTTAGAGCATCCTAGAAATCTCAAAGTTTAAGATTAATGTTGTTTTTATCTGTAGATTCAGAATTTGTGGCATTATTCTAGTATTTATTATGTCTCAAAAGTAGCATTAGTTCATCAAGTTCAAACTGGACAGGAAGTAGTGATGTAACAGTGAAGCTGCCCGGTTTCAGTGGTGCGCATATGAACCACACGTGTAGGGTGACTAGACGTCCCTGTTTACCTGAGACAGTCCCTAGCCTGATTCATCAGACTGTTTCACTTCTTGGAAACCGTCAGACCTCGCAGCATTAGGATTTGTTTGCTCGACAGTAGGCGAGTACTTTTTTCATTTAACCAATCGCTGCTGTTTGGTCGTGATGTATGTAATGCACCAAATCCATGCAATAACGTCTTTCCCCTTGATAAAATTCACCAAACATTCTCTTTGTTCTGCCTTTAAATCTTGTCTTCGTCTACATCCATCTCGACGCTTTGTTTACTGTTGTGATGTACCACAAAAGGGACACAGACAGGCGCGACGAGTTTGACGTCATGGCTTCACAGCTCTTCACTGATTGGTCGGAGCGCGGTCTACAACTTCCAGGGTTCTTACAAACCGTCTAGTGTATTCTAATTCCTGATCTAGTCACTGGAGAGAAATTAAATTGAGCAGAGGCACTAGATGACGTCAGCCTATGTACCCTGACCCAATAGATTTGTACAAAACCAGTGATTGGCCCTAGTTTTAATGTTGTGAAAACAGACAAGGATTCCTACACAATCTGTCCATTGTGAAAGCTATAAGTGAACAGTTTGAGTTCACAAAAAATGTATTGCAGGTATCAGATGTGTGCCCTATCTGCTCTTATCAGGCTATCTGTGAGGTCCAGCCGCTGTATGATGAGGAGCTGATAATATTTGGACTACTTTCAACACATTTGGGCTTTTTTTTGTTTGTTTTCACACGAATCAGTGCAATATGCAATGATGCAAGAAACCGTATGGACATTCACTCCTGTCCAGTCTTATGGAGGTTCTTTGGTCTGTGCATAAATGAATGGACCGCTCTGTTCAGACGTCCTGGTGTTCAGCTGTTGCACAGATTCAATTCTTTGATGTGTGAGTAGGCAGGTCTGTGTTCACAGCTGTTCTTTCAGTAGCTGAGGCTATAGCTGACCATAGATGACACTCATTTTTATGTGTTATGAAAATGTTTTACCAAGGGTTTTATAGAACATGTTTTCTCAATCCTGGCATTGTTTTGAAAAAGTCAATAGATTACCTTACAACATGTTTATTCAAATATTATTTACATTTTTTTTTATATTGAGGGGTTGTTGGTTTAATTCTTTAAACAATTTATTTTTCTTTGACTTCAAATGTTCATTTGAAGTTCAACTTCAAATGAACTGTCTGAAATGAATTACATGTACAGTGTGTGTGCTGGTATTATGTACTTTTGTGTGATTGTTGCAGTATTTTTCTCTGTCCTGCAGATGATTTTACATCAACCTGCCGAGAGACTCAAGATGGAAATTAGCCAGGCTGGCTCTAATCTTTACATATTTATATTTTAAATTAAATTAATATGTGCTGTAACTTTACAAATAAATAAATAAATAAGAAATATTAGGCTAAATCACATTTTTTTCTGTGATAAATTGAAAATATTGTTTTACATTTAACATGTTTTCTCAATACTGGCAATGGTTTTAAAAAGCCCAACAATGGATTACATACGATTATTCAAAGATTTAATGTTTTCTGTGACAAAACATTGGGCGTTTTTGCTGAAGGGTTTTCGAACATGACTGAGTGGAAATCACTAAACCCAATCTAGCAACACTGTCTCTGCTCTGCTAACGTTGATATTGAGCCAACACACTCGTTACACTGTGTGAGCTCACACACACACACACACACACACACTCATAAACCATGTGCAGATGTTAGAGACCCACCAGGTTCTCGGGGCTGTGCAGCTCGTGCGTGGTGGAGGCACAGCGTGTGATCAGGGACTTGAACATGCAGCCCACCACCACCGCCTCCATGTTCTGCGCCACAGACTTGTTGTCCCCCGTCGCAAAGTTATTCCCAAAGCCCGCCTTGTCTGCGTGACGGACAGGGAGGGAGCACCAATCAGGAGAGAGAACAGCGCGTGACCGACAAGCTTGAAAAATATCAAATTAAACGGGGTACAACAGGGTAAGGGATAGGCGAGGGGGGGGGTTCAAAAAGCAAATGGGGGAGAGCAAACTGAAAGGGATTCTCGTCAGGAAATAAATACATGCAAGTGACACAGGCCTGCTTTTTTTGTATTTCATAGAGAATTTTTATACACCAATTTCATCCAAATCTGTAGGCCATTCCGGTCACGTTTTGGAGGAATAGTGAGGGATTGCAGAGATGGAAGCAGTGCCTAGGAAAGGGTCGGATAAGCCTTGGGTACGTGTATTCATTGGACTTGCTACATAAGCTGGTAGACATTGAGGGTTATTGTTATGATTAAGTGTATCTACCGATGTTTCTTTTTTTCGCCCTCCGGGACCTCTCACCTGCACTGCCGTAGTCTGCAAGAGAAAAGAGGCGGGGCACAGAGTTGATTGACAGTCAGGCGGGCCAAGCACAGACATGTACGCGGCGAGTCGGAAAGGGCGCGGCACCCCACCTCAACCACGAGGTGAATTTTGGAGATAAGAGAGGTAGAATAACAAAGCAAGGATGAGGGTGTAAGGGCGTAAGTGGCATTTTGGATTTTACACTTTTACTTTGAGACAAATACTGCACCTAAATAGCATTTTATTACTTTAAAGTGCAGAATGCCGCTTCTCTGGTGGAGGGTCCACAACCTGCATGTCTCCATGGAGATGTTGTTTTACCTGGAATACTCCACAGTAGGGCATATATACAATGACAAAAATATGTGAAAACCATGCATTCTACTGTGAGTGACTCATCTATGTGTGCCGTGTGTGTTCATGCAAATAGATCAGTTTAATGCTTTACTGTGGACCATTACAGGCAAAACCAGAGACACTTCTACAGAAACAGACAGATAAGGATGCTCCAGCAAAGAAGTAACATGCACTTTTTAGTATACAGATGTATATTTGTCAATAAATACAATAAAATCAATAAATTCAATACATTTGTCCTTTTGGTGCTGTATTTTCAAATATTTTCAGGAGAAATTTTATGACAATTGCATATGCTGGTGTTATAATTTTCAACAGATGCCATGTTGACATGCCCACCAAACTCTGATTATAAGCAGATTTCTGGACAGTTAAGATTTTTTAAATGACATGCAGACCACAGAATCCAATGTGAGAAATCAGAGTGACCATGACCAGAAAGAAATCTGATGATTTTGTGGTTAACATGTAATTTAAATAATTGTTTAACTAAAAAAATCTGATAATTAAGTGTGTTTGTAATCACAGCCACTGACAAAAACATGGAAAAATGTTAATTTTTCGTCATGTATTTTTATATCATTCCAAGGACCAAACAGCCACTGAAAAATTTGTGAATAGATAAACTGATTTATTTTTAAATCAGTAACTCTAAAATATGTATGAATATGTGTGTAATATTTTGTCGGTGACTGAACTCACCATACACATTTATTCTATAAACACTAGAATTTGACCTAAAATGTCACTTTCACCCTCTCTGATCTCAGGCCTCATATCCACACACAGGTTACAAACATTCCATCAGACCAGGTGCTCTGTGCGCTTTCTGAAATCAAAACACACTCATCACTTCAGTAACTTGCCAATTGATCCACATCATGTATACTTTCCACAGGCAAAACTGAATTGTCATGTACAATGTGTCTCACTGCTCAGCAGTAGAAGCCAGCAGGGCGGATGAGCATGGCAAAAGCTCCCGATTGGCAAGTACAGAATGGATGAGCGAATCAGGAGGGCAGGGTTCAGCTGGAGCAAGGATGAACGAAAAGAAAGAAGGAAGGATGAAAGCAGGAGGAGGACAGGGAGAGGGGGACAGAGGACACAAGTAGACAAACGAGTGGACAGTGGACATATATATAACAGAGATAGATAGATAGGCGCTGGGATGCCAAGTGTAAGGTGTGAGACAGCTGTATTGCAATTCAGCTTTGTCAACCACACAGGGACCATTATCTGTGGTCAGATATTAGTAGAAATATAATAATAATACTTGTACTACTCACATAAGGGTCGTAGTATGGTGCAGGTACCGTACAAGTCAATAAAACACACTTTATTTTACAGTACCTGTGACTATGTAACAACTTGTAATAACATGTAATGACATGTTAATAAGGGTTAGGGTCGGGGTTAGAGGAGTCACATTACATGTTATTACATGGTTGTACATTGTACTTAATGAAGGAGGTGCATTAAGCCTATTGTAAAATAAAGTGTTACCAAACAGTTTAAGTAGGTATATCTCGAGGAAGACAACAGAGTGGTTCTCAAACAAAGGTGCAGGGACTTCTGGAGGTGCCAGAGGGGGTCACAGTTTAGACTTAGACTGTTTGAATCTGGTTTAAACCTGTTCAGAAAGGGGTTAGGTCAAGCTTAGTCCTGTTTAGACCCTGTTTAAAATGGTTTCGACATATTTTAGACTTTGTATATATTATCTAGGCTGACTCTATAACTCATCTTATGTGAATACATGGAGTTCTACACCTTTGAGGAACAGCTGGTTTAGCCGTGACTCTGCCCTGCCTCAGTCCTTGTGTTCCCTGTAGATGTCTGACTGATGTGTGTTCTACACATGTGACACTGCTCTTACTGAAAACATTAGGAAAAGTTCAAACACATACTGCTGATGGGTTGAAGCATCATAACAGTGGAGCAAACACAGAAATCAAACTTGTTCCAGTTGGGTGTAAAGCACCTCTGTCATTTTCTTCCTAAGACTTTTTGAGGTGTTAGTTGTTTTAAAAGTTTGAGAACCACTGGATATTTTTATTCCTATATAAGGACGTGTGTAGATTAGAAGATTACCATTGCTGTTGCCTTGCAGTACCACACACTTACTGTCAGTGATGGGCTCCATACAGAAGCCCAGCAGAGCATGGAGGAAGTCCACGATGTTGTTGAGAGAGTCTTTGTTGACGTATTCTCGCATTGTCTGACGGAACTGCAGCTTGTCCAGTTTGTACAGGCTGGTCAGGCAGTTCTGTGCCTATAAGAGAGGAAGAGGGCAACTTTAAATAATTGGTGGAATCATTTCAGATTGAGTGGAGTGGGACTAGCTTTTTTTGCTGCAAACCTGTGCACATGTCATTTCAATAGCATTACTGTTCGACACTGTCTAATGCAAACTTTGTGTCAAAAATGTAGTGTGTGCTGAGCAATATGATTAAACTGTGCCATTTCATTTAAGAAGCCACACACTCTCCCCTTTGGTCCTCCAGAACCCACACCTCCGCCTTTTCATTCTGTCCTTTAGTCCTCCAGACCCCACCCCGTTCCACCTAAGTCTCCCCTTTAGTCCTCCAGACCCTACCCCCTGCTTCCTAAGTCTCCCGTTAAGTCCTCCAGACCCAACCCCGTTACGCCTAAGTCTCCCCTTTAGTCCTCAAGACTCTGCCCCCTTCCGCCTAAGTCTCCCCTTTAGTCCTCCAGACCCTGCCCTTCCACCTAAGTCTCCGCTTTAATCCTCCAGACCCCACCCCCTTCCACCTAAGTCTCCCTTTTAGTCCTCCAAACCCCACCCCCTTCCACCTAAGTCTCCCCTTTAGTCCTCCAGACCCCGCCCCCATCCGGCTAAGTCCCCCCCATTAGTCCTCCAGACCCAGCCCCCTTCCACCTAAGTCTCCCCTTTAGTCCTCCAGAACCCGCCCCATCCACCTAAGTCTCCCCTTTAGTCCTCCAGACCCCACCCCCTTCCACCTAAGTCTCCCCTTTAGTCCTCCAGACCCCGCCCCCATCCGGCTAAGTCCCCCCCATTAGTCCTCCAGACCCAGCCCCCTTCCACCTAAGTCTCCCCTTTAGTCCTCCAGAACCCGCCCCATCCACCTAAGTCTCCCCTTTAGTCCTCCAGACCCCACCCCTTCCACCTAAGTCTCCCTTTAGTCCTCCAGACCCCGCCCCATTCCACCTAAGTCTCCCCTTTAGTCCTCCAAACCCCACCCCCTTCTGCCTAAGTCTCTCCCATTAGTCCTCCAGACCCAGCCCCCTTCCACCTAAGTCTCCCCTTTAGTCCTCCAGACCCCACCCCCTTCCACCTAAGTCTCCCCTTTAGTCCTCCAGACCCCGCCCCATTCCACCTAAGTCTCCCCTTTAGTTCTCCAGACCCCGCCCCTTCCACCTAAGTCTCCCCTTTAGTCCTCCAGGCTCCGCCCCTTCTGCCTAAGTCTCTCATTTAGTCCTTCAGATCCTACCTCCTTGAACCTAAGTCTCCCCTTTAGTCCTCCAGACCCCGCCCCCTTCCACCTAGTCTCCCTTTAGTCTCCAACCCCGCCCCCTTCACCTAAGTCTCCCCTTTAGTCCTCCAGACCCCGCCCCCTTCCACCTAAGTCTCCCCTTTAGTCCTCCAGACCCCGCCCCCTTCCACCTAAGTCTTCCCTTTAGTCCTCCAGACCGCGCCCCCTTCCACCTAAGTCTCCCTTCAGTCCTCCAGGCTCCGCTCCTTAAACCTAAGTCTCCCCTTTAGTTCTCCAGACCCCGCCCCTTCCACCTAAGTCTCCCCTTTAGTCCTCCAGGCTCCGCCCCTTCTGCCTAAGTCTCCCATTTAGTCCTTCAGATCCTACCTCCTTCCACCTAAGTCTCCCCTTTAGTCCTCCAGACCCCGCCCGCTTCCACCTAAGTCTCCCCTTTAGTCCTCCAGACCGCGCCCCCTTCCAGCTAAGTCTCCCCTTTAGTCCTCCAGACACCACCCCCTTTGCACCTAAGTCTCCCCTTTAGTCCTCCATGCCCCGCCCCTCCTCCCTCACTCCCTCCTTTAGTTAGTGCTGTATAGTTATTACACCTGACACCAAAAATAGGCTGTGAAGAGGCTTTGAATTCATACATTTGGAGAGAGCCGTGCGTCACCAGACCCACATTTAAAAATAGCATCATTGATTAGCAGTAAAAGTCATTTATAGCTGCCCAGTGTTACTGAAGCTACAGACCCGTCCCTGGAGCTCTGTAAGTAGTGTTCAATTTACTTCCATGAAATATTAAATACACCAGATAAATAATAGTACAAGTATGGATTTTGTTTTAGAGATCGTATTATTTTGAGAAGACCAAACGAGCGTATACGGACTAGGTAAATCCTTTCTCTGTGTAGTTCAGAACATTAAAGGGCCTTTGAACGACTATCTCAACTGAACCTGTGTTGCCAGAGCCTTAACCTGTAGATAGACACATCCAAGACAGGTCATATCTTGTGTGAAAGCTCAGAGGCTGCACTAGCACTGACTCATGTTGGCTGTAGGTGCTGTGGTTTAGGTAGTGACCATTCAGATCAGAGAGAGATATTTTAGGTTTAAACACACTGGATTTCAGCGCTGAAGCTGGTAATCCAAATGAAAGACTCACGTGAGGCTCATTCTGCTGAGGGGATTTGCTCAAAAAGGGATTGGGGACAGACTGATGTTAATGATATTATTATTAAATCATTCCAAATGGTCTGTCCTCTTCCTTTCAGAGCATTTCCGATGCTTGTGCTGCTTCCACACATGGATTTTCATATTAAAGCATCTGACCAATCACATTTCAGCCGTCACTTGTTGCTCAGCAGAGTCAAAGTCAAAGAAGTGTCCCTGAGGCCTTCACAATCTGTTCTGCAGGCCCTCGAACACAAAATAAATGTCCATGAAACTGTTGCTTCATCCAATCAGATTTGAAGTTGGTACGACGTCACTGGATTCAGACCTGTGATTGGACAGTCAGAGAGTGAACCAGCCAAAGCAGCAAACTAAACAGGCATCTGTCAGGCAGGAACCAGGTCTAAATCAGGACCAGGTCAGGTCTCAGGAACCACCAGGTCTAAATCAGGACTACACCAGGTCTAAATCAGGACTACACCAGGTCTAAATCAGGTCTAAATCAGGACTACACCAGGTCTAAATCAGGTCTAACACCAGGTCTAAATCAGGTCTAAATCAGGTCTAAATCAGGACTACACCAGGCCTAAATCAGGTCTAAATCAGGACTACACCAGGTCTAAATCAGGTCTAAATCAGGACTACACCAGGTCTAAGTCAGGTCTAAATCAGGACTACACCAGGCCTAAATCAGGTCTAAATCAGGACTACACCAGGTCTAAATCAGGTCTAAATCAGGACTACACCAGGTCTAAACCAGGTCAGGTCTAAACCAGGTCTAAATCAGGACTACACCAGGTCTAATCTTGGACTTGAGAGAGAACGACAGAGAGAGGGAGAGAGTGTCTGCAAAGTGCGATCGGGCGACAGCTGCACTGAGCCCCATGCTGTTTTTAGTGGCAGGAGAACTGTGGCCATTGACATGCACTAGTCTAGCACCAGTGACCTCTGCAAATACAAGGACTGGATGGAATATTTCAAAAAGTGTCTCTACATGTCTCCAACACTCTGGCTCACTAGGAAATGAGGTCCTATGTCCAAAATTCCGGGCTGTCTCTTTAAAGTAGAGTTACACCTGTACGTGTGTGTGTGTGTGTGTGTGTGTGTGTGTGTGTACGTGTGTGTGTGTGTGTGTGTGTGTACGTGTGTGTGTGTGTACCTGCATGCGGAGGCGGTCCCCGGACAGTCCACGATGGCCCTCCCCACAGCCGTACGCACAGCCCAGGGACTTGACGATCTTGATGAGCATGGTGAGGGCGAGCCGGTGTGTGCTCAGGCCCGCTGTCTCATCCTGGACACAAAGACAAAACCATATTTCAACATCACAACCCGGGTTTAGTCCTTGGTTAGTTCTAGTTATGTGTAGTCATCGGTCCAGCCAAGACCACACACTTTTGTCCAATTATACAAACTATGACTATGCAAGTAATCAAATCCACAAATCCAGATCCAGTCATTTCTAATCATCAGTGATCATCTTGGGTTGTGGGACTCAGGAAGAAGAAGCATGACTACTGCTAATGATTCAAAGTTTGTAATGCTAATGTTTCAGAATCAGAATTTTAATGAGACCAAACTAAATTGAAAATCAAGAATGATCAGTATGAGGTAATGAATTGTGATTTCTTTTCATTTTCTTTGTCATATCAACCAGGGGTCCATTTTCCCACTTCCCACTTCCCACAAAAGCATGGCCTATCAAAACAAACATGGCAGTGGTGTAGACATGGTATATAAGTAGTTTAGTTCAGGACAGAGTCCTGCACTGGGTCCATTTTTGGAAACCTGCACCTACCCGCACCTGCACAGTACAGCACCACACCCGCGCGGATCCGTTAACATTCCACCCATTACCCACCCGTGCCCATGATAAATCGGGGTCAGCCCATTAGTCCGACAGCCCAATAGTCCAAGACTAAACCAGGACTAATCCAGGACTAAACCAGGACTAAACCAGGACTAAACCAGGAGTGTAGCCGCCAAGCTGATCACCTCTGCTGATGGTTTTATGTAATAAAAACACTTAAGTCTCTCTCAGCCTAGTCCATTGTTCCAGGAAAAGTCCAAGAAGTGGCACTTGTTTTCAAGGCAAAGGACGCCCTGATTGCGTGTCAAGTATTTTTCTCCCGTTCGTGGTTCATTTGATTCACCTGACCCGCCCGTGTGTAATCTCTACCCACCTGCATACCTGCCCGTAAAACTCCAGTACGTTAAAACCCGCCTGTTTCAATAACTATTTCAGCAACCGTTGGGTATCCGTGGGTACCCGACCCGGTACAGGACTGATTCAGGTTAGGGTGTGATTTAACTTCACTCTTCAGTGTCCCTACTGGCAACTATAGACATGTTTGTTTTCCATACAATTATATAAAATTATTTTGATCCACAAGTGAAGAAATGCCAGTGTGGGATAGTCACAGGCAGCTGTCTCCACACGGAACTCATGTGCCAGTTTGCCAACATGTGAAATTGGAAGAACACGGAGACATGATTTTCATCCAACAACTGTCCCTGGCAGCTACGTCCTTCTGATTCTCATCGAACAAAATGCCTTTTAATTGTTAGATAAATTTCCAGAAGAACTTTCTCTAACACGCACTCTCACAAATAAATCACACGCTTTACAAATTAAAACGCATTTTCCTGAATTAGAAGAAATAAGTCCAGTGTAGGCCATGACAACATGCATCAGTAGTAGTTTAACAAAAAAAAATCATTGGGAGCTATAAACAAATTCATACATAAATAAGTGCATCGTAGAAAGTAACAGAATACCTTCTTATCATTGTCCTTGTTGTTCTTGATGTCGTCTTTGCTCCCCTGTCCGCTGCCTCCCCCGCTCCCCCCGCCTCCCCCTCCTCCCCCGTCTCCTCCCCCTCCCCCGGGCACGCCCCCCCTCCGCTGCTGCCCTGGGAGGTGCCGCTCAGGCTCTGGGCCACCGAGTCCTTGGGGCGGGCCTCCTGGTTCTCCTTGTCCTGCTTGGAGAGCCTCTTGCCCATGTCCGGCACCAGGCCCAGCTGCAGCAGACAGTCGATGATGTTCAGGGCCACGTCGCAGATCCTGGAGCTGATGTCGTGGCTCAGGACGGCGTACAGTGCTCTCAGGACCGCCTGGGGGACAAAATGCACTTTAGACTAGAGTATTGTTGTATTCAATTTATTCCAGACTTTGTTGTGAGCACCGCCATCGTCATTCAGGTTGTATTATTGTACATGGAGCTACAAATACGTTTTAAAGCCTCCTACAGAATCGGTGCAGTGTTGTCTTGTTGGTGCACATTTACAAATCTGGCAGTGTTGCATTTAAGTGACTATACACAATTTTTTTCCCATGTATCTGAGCAAAACTTGATTTGCCCAGTCAGGGATTTATTCTGCCCTACAAAGGCAGAACGCTGTAACATCATATTTGGTCAAAAATGAGTTCATGTCATGGTGTTTGTATTTGAGACCTCTTTTATCACATGAATAAATATCGTGAAAAATATTGAGCTCAAACTTGACCTTTGACCTTTATTTGTCAGTTCCTGTATCTGCCTTTGTATAATGAGCCAAAAATAAGGAGGAATGTAAAGGCAAAAGGCAGTAACAGTGTATGTTTTGTTTGTGATTTAGTTCATGAATATATTTGATTTTTAAAATCCAACCTCTTGCCTTCTTTTTGTTGTGGCCTTGGTACAGGGTCTGAACATATTAAATAAATAAACATTTGTATTCAATTATACTTAAATTATCTTTAAAGTGAAAGTATTCTGTGTATTTATTCATACTGTACACACTATACTGCAAAGTCACTTGTATGTACGCATGGTACTCATCAACACTGAACAGGAAATCCAAAGCTCTTCTATAGAATTTCAAACAAACACATGATGACTCGACCTTGGTGAGACGTTCTTACAATGGATGGAAGTCTGGGCAAATTCAAGCAAATAATCATGATCATGTCAGTCTCTGCCTTTTGTCTTTGCACGACTCCTAATTTTTGGCTCATGATACAAAGGCAGAGAACAGGAACTGACAAATAAGGGTCAAAGGGCAATTTTGAGCTCAATATTTTCCATATACATATATGTCTTCATTATAGCAACTAGTTGTCAAACTTTGGAAGCCCTACCTATTATAATTTTGTCTGGACAAAACGGAAACTTTGAAGTAATTTTTCTGAGTTTCACGCTCTAGATCAGGGTGTCGAACTCATTTTGTCCGGGGGCCGTATCCAATACTTTGATCCCAAAGGGGCCAGATCAGAAAACGCATGTCATATAAACCCCAAAAATAACAATAAGTTCAAATATTTATTATTTTTATTTATTGTAAGTTTATAATATTATGAACAACCTGAAACTTGAAGAAAAATTCAATTTCAACACAAAGTTTTAACATGAACTTGTTTGCAAACAGGAATAGTCAATTTTTCTTGGAAAATCCTGCACTCGGCTCCACTTTTCTCATTTTTGACATTTTGCTGATGAGGGTGTCACGGTCAACAGTCAAAACGATCGTCCTTTAAGAGCGTTTGGAAAGAGACAAGTCTTCATTTGTGCTGCTCTGGTGGGAGGGGCACGTACAGAGGCTCTGGAGACACTGAATGCTCAGCACCGCAGAAATTACCAATATTTTAATAGAAAATATAATTAAAATATTTTAGTAGAAAATCACCCAAGGGCCACATTAAAAGTTTGGAGGGCCGGATCTGGCCCCCGGGCCTTATGTTTGACACCTGTGCTCTAGAGAGTTAAGGTCTTTTGCCTTTGTAGGACAGTATTGTACAATCAGCTCTTGAGGGCAAAAATGTCTGCTTTGTATTGTCTGCATCTAATTATAAAGCGTTTTATGGTCTTATTGTCATCGCTTTGACGGCAAAATTCTATTCAGGTCTCTGAAAGTTGTGAAACGTGCTCACAAACTTATCGTGGTGAATAATCTGGATGTTCAGAATGCATAAGGTAAGTGAGGAATAATTGTTTAAAATTAAATAGTTCTGTTTTTCACATTTTCACAGTAAAAATCAGGTAACAGCTTCTTAAAAAATGTACTGAAGTGCACTGTATTATAGCATCAAAATGTGTTTGTTATGCATTTATTTATCACTGAATACAAATGGAAAAATTGTACATGCTGTGATTTCTTGTTTCTCACTATTTTAGTACAATTTGAAGCCTATATTGCATGGTTAAATGCTGCAATCTTTTCCTTTGATTTTAGAAAAGTAACTGCATTCTGAACACCACCAAATGAAAGAGTACCTCTATCAACCTCTATTGACTCACAGTGAGGTCCAGCATGCCGTTCTTGAGCACAAAGTGGCTGGTGCCCTCCATGCTGTCGCCCTCCTCCAGACACGAGTAGTTGATGCAGGAGTCAGTGAAGCTGCGGGGCAGGTTGGCACAGGCCAGGGGCTCGGTGGGCATCTCGGGCACGGCGGGCGTACACAGCTTCTTCATGTGCTCGGTGAAGAAGTCTGCGTAGCCCACGTTGAAGGACGCCACTGTGGTGTTGAACGCCGCCATGGTGATGGTGGAGATCTGAGAGCGCACTACAAGGAAAGACACGCAGTCAAGTATTTACAGTATTTATCTTTTTAGAATCATATTTTGTAGTTGAAGGACACACCTTCAGTTAAATACACTGAGCTTTGAGAGCTTTAAAACATGTTATAACATTGTTTGCTTATCAAAAACACGCCTGGAGTTATAGTTTGCATAATTCATGCTGGTTTCTTTAAAGCGGATTTAATTCAGCAGAATTTTTCAGAGATTTTAACCATGTTTTAGTTGTTTCCTTCTTATTTACACTCTGAAGTTGTATTTGGAGTGATTCGTGCATGTTTGAGCAATCTTTAGTCCCTTATTTTAAAACACCCATTGCTTTCTACTTACTTCGTTCTCCAATTTTATTTTCTTAATTGTTGATACACATAGTTAGTTCATGGTTCATTCAGATAGTTGCCAGCAGATGGTGGCAGTGGTGCTAACAACAAATCCAAGTAAGGAGAGTGTAACTGATGCTGTATGCTCTAAAACAGCAGATGCCAAAGCAAAGCTACTCAAAAGCATGTTTAACAGCGAAAAAGAGTACAAATACACACACATATATGTGTCCTTTAATAGGACATATGTATATAATCAGCTATATAGTTAAGTGATAGAAGCACTTCTATGTCAGTATAGTTAGATATATGACACATTCAGCATTTTATAAATTGTAAGTGTATTTGCCTCTAAATCTTCATATGGGTTGGCATATGGAAGACAACAATGTTATTAGAGCTGAACTTTCCCAAATTATCATTATACATGTGCACTTTATAGTTATACAGGTTTTTCCTTCTTCTGAGAGTTTACACTTTGCTTTGATCACTTTTAATTCATGTATTTATTGACTCCTTGACTCCTTCATGTACAGTATGGTATTTGGCGGGTGACAGTACCTGCGGGGTTGCCCTCTCGGACGGTGTTGTCCCCGTGGCTGTTGGGCTGGTCGGGGGTTTCTCGGAGGAGGGAGTGGTGGGAGTGAGAGTGTTTGGCACTGAGGCTGTCTGCGTCTGCTGCTGTGTCTGTGCTCCCACGACGAGTGAATTTACCTGCACAACAACATGATGGTGTTAGTTATATACAGTAGGTCTACATCACCATGGAAATACTGAGCAAAGAACAGCACACTGACTAATCTTACAGGTGTTCTAATAAAATGTTTACAGTCCACAACATTAACACATTATCATGATAACATACAAATAATACAATAGTACAAAAGGTGCCTCCCATTATAGTTTTCAATGCCATTTTCAGAACATAAAAACTGTTCTTTTCATATTAAACTCTTCAGTTCAAGTGACAAAAATTGCCATCAAAATGTGTATATACGAGGTATACGAGAGCCCCAATCTTTAACTATACGAAAATGTTCCAGTTTCTATCTCCTTCCCAAAATCTCACAGATTAAGATAAATACATCCATCTTATCATGTGATTATTTATATGAAATCAGGAAAAAGAAAGTGGGGCAATAGATGGCAAACCATGAGACAAAAATGTTAGTTTAATCCCTCACGAGTGCAAGAGAGCATCAAAGAGAGAAAGATCTGAAAAAGTAGTCATCTAGGTTTTGGGTTGAATTTGAAATGTCTTAACTGTACTAACTGTCAGACAGATACCACTGTGTTTTTGTAATATTCTCTAATATACTATACACAGAGAGTTACATTAAAAGTATAATAAGATCTCTCTCAGCCTGTAAAAATATTCTTGCTGAAGCAGTGCGCTCACCCATGATGGTGGCCTGCCAGCCTCCACGCTCCAGAGCCCTGCGGTCATCTCCCAGCCCAGAGAAGCTCCCGAAGGAGAAGGTGCTGCGGGTGGGGGACACATCCAGGTGGTCCTCGTGCATGAGGAAGGGCACGCCCATCCTCCTCTGCCTCTTCTTGCCCGTGTGGTGGAAGGGGATGGAGCCTTTCCTCTCCCGGTCGTCCCTGCGGTTCTTAAACTGCCAAACACAACAGCAGCTTAACAGGTTGGGTTCATGTAATACAAGAAAATAGATACTTTCAGATCTTTGGAAAACAGCCCTGGTTTTTCATAGTTTGCGATGTTAGATGGCCAATTCTAGACCCACTCTCTCTAGACCCACTATTGTTTAAAATAGATAGAGAGCAAAGATGAAATCAGTGGTACAACACGCCATAATGAGGTTTACAGTTATAAATGTATTGTGTATGTATACATGTTGAAAAACAATGAATTATCTCAACACAGGTTCCATCATGACAGGAAATGAGCACCATAGCCAATTAACAATTCAAAATAAATATGCACCTGTTTAATGTTGAAAAGTGCTCAAAAATACGAAGCTAAAACTCATGAACCCACTTTGCATCTACAGTTGTGATATCAAAGTGTTCCAGATCCCTCATCAAAGTTAGAGAATATAAAGCTTGTGATGTGAGTGTGTTTACCTTCTTGAAGATGTTCATGCCCAGGTCGGTGGACAGGTCGGGCACAGCCTGGCGCCGCAGGTTGGTCAGAGACACTTTGGCGAAGGTCTCTGAGCTCAAAGACTTTCCCTCCTCATTACACTTCAGACTCAGGTCCTGTAAAACACAAGGTGAAACATCTACAGAGGAGAACTACCACTGGAATCATGTTCTTCATGATGGGATATTCACATCCACATGTTTTAAAGTGAAAATTACTTCTTTTTGGCAGCAGGGGGAAAACACCTATCACAAAGCAACTATAAGGTAGTAAGCTCAATTAAAAATTGAAATTCACAAAATGAAAAAACAAAACAAAAAAAAATCTCCATGAATTTCCTTTCTGTGTGGAGTTTGCATGTTGTTCCTGTGTCTGGATGGGTTTCCTCCAGGCACTCTGGTTTCCCCCAACCCAAATCATGCTCCATAGGTCTCCAGAAAGAACAGCTGATAGCTAATGGAGGTGCATTAAATACAATAAATCAATAACCATTGGCAGAGGCATGGGAGGTCTGATGATATGACATTTTTTTTATTTGTGATTATTGTGAGGGAAAATATTGTGACTTTAAAATGATTGCCCAAAAAGAGGAAACACCGTCAACGTAAAAGCATTTTATAGTCCACTATACACGCTATATTTTTTCACAATATAACGTGCATGTGTCTTTGACGTAATTAGTGAAATAACAGCCACTGATAATATTATTTGTTAATATATCTCCTGCTTGCACTTCACACAAGAGCAATAAGGATAGGCACTTTTTCTTCTTTACTCGCTTAAATACTTTCACGTTCAGATCACAGTTTACATCAAATGTAGCACTCTTAATGCACATCTGACGTTTGTTTTACATTCGCTTGGACAAACCAGTAATCTCAAAGATGTACTGTAGTTGGACCACAGAGACTTTGGCTACAACTCTACACCGACAGGATTTCCATATTAGATTTTCATCTACTTCATAACACTCAACACAAAGGATGCCGTAAATCTCACAGTGCTGACGTGATTTGTTACTGAGTGGATGCAACTCCTGGACTTGAGCCTTTCAGCTCCGTGCTGCAAATTTCTGCGGAAGATATAATGTAATTCTGTGGAACTCTGCGGAAGATGTAATATCATTCTAAAACTCCTAAGATTAACATAGAAGTAATCAAAAACCAAGTAATGTTGACATCCTGAGCAGGGGCTCCAAACCTACAGCACCCCACTTCCTGAGTTTACTAGTATGTGGGAGATTGTTTTGCCTTCTTTCTCTGTCATGTTTTCTGTTCTGTTATTATGTTTAAAATAAATTAATAAAACATATAAAGTTAAGGCCATACTTTGCAGTCATGAAATAAAGTCAAGCCTGAAAGTTACACATCAGGTCTGTGGAGAGGCAAACCCACTCACACTAAGGATACATGTTCTCCTCCATACCTGTGTCTTGTGCGTGTTGACGAGCGAGGGCGCGGCCGCGACCATGGAGCTGCTGCGTGGGCGGGGCAGGGGCGTGGCCAGGGGCTCGGGGGTGCGCTCGGGTCTCTCCTCCAGGATGTGCCGGAGCCTCTGGAGGTAGTACATGAGCGCCCAGTGCACCCCCTCCTCCGTCCAGTGGGGCTGGAGCAGACAGCGCAGCACCGCCACGTCGAAGTAGGTGGCATAACGCGCCCGCTGGGACAGAGACGCGGGAAGGCCACCGGGCGCAGACGTCCTGGGGAGACAGAGAGAAAAACTATATATTACAGACTATATAACTGGCTGCTCTATAATTCTGCTTAATTGTGAATATCACTGAAATAATAATGATCTAGTGATGGAATTTAAGGCTCAAATTAGGATTCCCACTCTTGTACACTGATAAAATTTCAAAAATCTTCTATGACTTTTTCATGAGCTGAAGTGAATTTTCCATGACTTTACGGCACCTGCATGTGTAGAATTGATCAGACTTTTAGGGCTAAATATGAAATGTTAACTCTTCCACTCACCTTATGGTTTGGGATTATAGATTTTTAACATTCAAAATCCTGTAAGTGCATTTATTGTCGTCTCTTTCAAACAAAAGGCACAGACAGAAATAAAGAACGCTGTAGTTGCATGAAAGAGAATTCCATGACTTTTCCAGGCCTGGAAAATGACATTTTCAAATTCCATGACTTTTCCACGATTTGTATGACCGTGGGAACCCTGTCAAATCTTCAGGATCCGTTCCTTTCAAACAGTTGTTCAAATACCCAGCACTTTCTTTTCAATTTGAAGTGGGACTAAACTCTGCCCACAACCACATTTCAAATAGAGCTGCTAAACTGGGCAGTACCTGGAGGACGAAATGGAAGAGACATGGGGGATAAAGGGTGGGGTCTGGAGGTATAAGGAACAGTGTTAATGGTCAAACAGGTATCAAATGCCCCTGCAGCCAGGCTTTAGTAACCAAGAGTCTTGCGTGATGTCACCAACTACTGGAAATTGCAGAAGTCACTGAATGTAGGTGTTTTTGATGAGAAAGATGCAAATGTACCTAGTTTGCACTAAAGTTGCCAAAAAATGATTGGTTGATGTAACTATTAAAACACAATATACACAGTTTAGTAGCAAAAAAAATGATTTACTGTTTAGTTCTACTTTAAAAGAATCACAGCATTTAGAAAATTAACACTGTGATTGAGTGTTGACATCAAAAACGTGAGCACATTACCCTGATTTTAGCGTCCTTGCGTTGGCTTCCAGTTTGTTTTAGAGTTGACTGTTGGTTTTTAAAGCTTGGAATGGACTGGCCCAATAATACATCTCGGACCTCATCCAGATTTACTCCCCTGTGCGCTCTGAGGTCCGAGGGCCAGCTCCAGCTCGTGGGGCCTAAAACCAGACTTAAAACTGTGGAGGGGGGTTGTTTCTATGGATATGTCACTGCTCTGCCTGGAATGTTCCACAGTGTGACATTAAACAGCGCTACCTTAAATTTATTCAATTACAGTTGGGTTTATACCTCAAAAATACCTAAAAAAAACAAAAAACTAAGCGGGGTCACCTCTCCACAGATTTGACCTGTAACTTGGTCTGGTTTTGTCTCCATGAAGACAGAACTAATAAGAATAATAAGAAATTTAATACCATACTGTGAAAGATTCAAGACAAAACAATAACATGTCCATGAAGAAAAGCATTTGATGGGCCTTCCAACAGAAAAGACACACAATGCATCTTTAAATGTGCTTTTTGACCTTAAACCTTAGTCTCCGGGATGCATTTGAACTCTTAATATCGAAAAGTTCAAAACGTCTATGGGAAAAACGAATGGAAAATCTACTTCCAGAACCAGAGAGAGCATCAAACTGAGTGAACATCAAACTGTACTGGGTCCCGCTAACATGTCCCAGCCTCCTCTGCTCTTGCGGTAGTTTCCATGGCGTACGTTACCGCTCTACCACCACAGCCATCTCCATTTCCATCTCCCTGACCTTCGCCGAGCCCATCGACAGTGCTCTCACGTAGGCTCGGGCTCCCTGTCTGCTCCTGTTTTGCTCGCGGTGCTGGAGGGGGGATGTGCCCTTATTTACTACCTCCTGTGATCCATTAGTAATGAAGCAACACGCGGATAGGTGTCTGAGACGGTAGGGGCTTCGGGGCGGCAAGGCGACAATCCAATCGAAATCTGAACGGATGAAAGTAGCAAATGGTAAACGCCGCAATCTAAAATATATTGGATTTCGATAAGAGAGCTTATAGAGAGGGAAATGCTTTTTTTTTTTTTTTTTTGGCTTTTAAAGGAACCTGTGCTCTTATTGTTTTTAAAAAAGATATCACAATGAGAACTGAACCCGTGCTGCCAGAGCTTTAACCTGCAGATAAGAGTTTTTCTCATTCTCGGTATCAACATTTTAGGTTTAAAACAACTGGACTTCAATATTAAAGCTGGCAACCCAAATGAGAGACTCTTGTGAGGGTCATTTTTTTGGTTTCTGGTAGGATAATTGTCTTGAGAACCAAAAAAAAAAAGTTATAACATAAACAACTTGGGGATCATAGCATTACAGTTGTTATCAGTAAAAGCTAAAGTAAATTGAAAGTCACTGAATATAGGTGTTTTTGACCAGTTTGTACTAAAGTTGCCAAAAAATGATTGGTAGATGTTGCTATTAAAAGACAATATCCACAGTTCAGTAGCAATAAGTGGATTTAGTGATTAGTTCTTCTTTAAAAGAATCATCAACAATTAGAAAATTAACACTGGGATGAGTGTTGACACCAAAAATGTGAGCACATTAAACCGATGTTAGGGTCGTTGCGCTGGTTTCCAGTTCGTTTCAGAGCTGATTTTAAGATTTTACTGTTTGTGTTTAAAGGGACAGTCCACAATTTCGAACATAGGACTTCATTTCCTAGTGAGCCAGAGTGTTGGAGACGTGTGGAGACACTTTTTGAAATATTCCATCCAGTCCTTGTATTTGCAGAGGTCACTGGTGCTAGGCTAGTGCATGTCAATGGCCATGGTTATCCTGCCACTAAAAACCGCTCCACAAAACACCTGAAGTAAATCTATTATTACACCAGACTGTCCATGTGAATGTCTGTGTTGATAGAATAATTTTAGAAGTAAAACCAAGATTGCATTTGAAGGATTTATGTCTGAGCAGCAGCAGTGAGTTGTACTTCCTAATAGAAAGCTCGGCAGCGGCGGACTGATATATGAGAAAATAGTCCCTCAACATGTGACAGTTCATGTGATGCAAGTTTAGTTTTATTTCAAACATTATTCTATCAACACAGACATTCACGTGGACATTCTGGCATAATAATAGATTTTTTTCGGGTGTTTTGTGGAGAAATAGAAGTTTTTAGTGGCAGGAAAACTATGGCCATTGACATGCACTAGCCTAGCACCAGCGACCTCTGCAAATACAAGGACTGGATGGAATATTTTAAAAAGTGTCTCCACACGTCTCCAACACTCTGGATCACTAGGAAATGAGGTCCTATGTCCAACATTACAGACTGGGGGACAGGGGCTTCTCTGTGGCTGAACCCAACCTCCATGTCCCAATGGCCCCCACAGTGGAGAGTTTTAAGTTTCATCTTAAGACCCACTTTTATTCTCTGGATTTTATGTGATCCTCTGGGTCTTTTATTTATTTTACTTATTAACTGCTATTTTATGACTTTCATGGTTTTGCTTTTATTTGATTTGACTGGTTTTATTGTTTCACGACTGGTATGACCACATTTTAGCAATTTACCTTTTTGCTGTCTTCATTTTATTGATCTCTGGGCAGCACTTTGGAAACTGCCTGGTTCGTAAAATGTGCTATAAAACTAAAGTGGATTTAGATTTGGATTTGGACACAAACAGGTCTAAAGGGCAGCTGGCCAGATTCTGATACACTGGATTTGAACAGGTTTACAGGGAACACAACTCATGTTTATTACGGAATTTAAATTTAATGGAATTGAAAATCTAAATCTTGCAAACAGTTCCTTCAAATGAGACATCTCTGTTTAAAGCAAAGGCTAATATTTTCACAAAGAACCACCTCATTCTGTCAAAAACCTGCGTATAAAACCTTGGAGACTCTTCCCTCAGTTCACATTGCCTCCTCCTCTGGTGTTTCTGCGCTATCTGTGTCACTGCTGCTGCTGCTGCTGCTGTTGTGTCCGGTCGCCATGGAGACGCGATGACGACAGCCGCCCCAGCCCCGCCCCCGGCAGCAGCTCCATGCGGTAGGAGCCGTGCAGGAGCCGGGCGGTCGCCATGGTAACAGTTCGCAGCATCACGAGGAGCAGGGGAGCGGTGTGCGAGAGGAAGTGCTGACAGAAATGAGTTTGACACGGTTTAGATTCGCATTCGGAGATAGTTTTAAGGGTTATCTATAGTCACAAAGCAAAATGGATCAAATATTGGATTATTTAAAGAGCTGTATGTAAGATTTAGATTTAAATGTCATGACCCAGAGAGGAGGTAAACATGTTCAAATCAAATACAGATTTTACTGATAACAACTCACACCGATCTCTCATTTGCTTTGCCAGATTCAATGCTGAAATCCAGTAGGTTTAAATCTAAAATGAGGGAATTCTGGAGGTTTTGAGCTGTACTAAGAATGAGGAAATTTGGATGTGTCCTCTGTCCATTTACCTGAGCAGACCCAGACGTTTTTACCAAATTTAAGAAAGAGAAATGGATATGGAGCTGTATCCTGTCTCCCGGTTTAGACATAAAAAGGGGAAAAAAACAACAAAAAGGACTGAGAAACTATGCGGATGTTTGGAGAATCAACAATCGAAGCACCAAATTATTTCTCATCTCAGGTAAAATAAGTTATACATTTTATTCTGAACTTTGGTGAGATGTCTTTTCACACTCTATGGTCCAGTTCCACACTCTTCCGTATTCAAACAAAATGTACAGGGGACTGGCAATGAAGGTTAAGTTGTAATACCTGTTTTAAAACCATAACAGTGCAGGATACATACAGCTCCTATGGGTGAAGTAGTCGTGAGTTCACAAACTGTAAAAGTACCTCTACCTCTGTCATCAACTGTCATCAATTCTATCCAATTTACCCACAAGGAAAGCCTCTACATATGTTATATTTACTCTCCATGTCAAACCAGAAAGGAAAAAAAAAAAAGCTCATGACAATGATAAAACTTGAACAAACTAAGCATTTTTTGGGGTAAAATGTTAAATATGATCAGTGACCATGTTTTTGAGAA